CCCGGCAGGCAGGATGTGGGTGTATGAGAAGTGGGCGTAGTGGTTTTGGGATTCTACTATGTCTGTAGACCTGGTTGGTGATTGGCAAATATTCATTTTACATGGAAAGAGACAGATATTATTGGAAACCTTGAATATTACCGAGGAATTAAAGGAGTGAGAATTAACAAATTGAGGAGTAATGGTCAGAGATTATGAGTGCCAGCAGTTTGGGTTAAAGGTAGGAATGGGGTGAGATGCAAAGATAAGTTGTTCAGAACAGTTGGGTTTACCACAGGTGGTTTCTGATCATGTGACTATACAAGGCTGCATTTTTACAGGCATCCTAATGCTGATTTTCCACTAATTGGTCTTTTGACTAACCAGATCAGCTCTTATGCCAATAATTACACTGTGTAAACACAGTCTAAAGGCTGTTTCTTCAAAGCACTCCAACCAGTTTCAACTAATTCATGATTGGCAGGGTGTTTATATACCGATATTTAGATACTGACATTGAATTAAAGGGTTTGGCTTGTTTGATAATCATAAATGTACCATGAAAACGTTATACCCTTGGGGCCACACAATACAAAGTGTAAATGGGTGATTCTTTAACTATGGTACTTTTCTTGTCCCTGGATGAAATAATAAAAACTAAAAAACATTTCTTCTTTTTTGTTTTTGTCATACTTACTCCACCCTAAGGGGAACTTATAAAAAATGTATCATGGCTCAATCATTCTTTTTATTATATAATATGAGGCCTTTTATGCATGGTTTTTACTGTTTTCCCTCTGTCCCTAAGCCAGACTTTGTATCTTCAACCTCGCTTAATTCTAAATTAAATATTTAAATAATGTAGATTTCAAGTACAAATGATAAAATACCATTTATTTCAATTCTACATATTATATATTGTGATACATATTCACATTTTCCTATATTTTTCATAAATAGAACCCTTGTCCCTTGGGGTCACTGTCATTTCCACCACACTGTACAAAATAGAATCCTGGGATCAGTGTTTTAGGTTTGTATATTTAGTAACCATAGCAACAGAAACTCCACAGTGGAACACATGGCTGGATGAAATGGTGTCCTCTACAGGGGGTAATGAAAAGAAGAAAAATCAAGGTAAATATGAGTAAAACTGAGAGTATGTTTATTGGTCGTCATTTCCAAACAGCTCATATTTCACATGGACGTAAAAATAACTGGATACATTTAATTTAATAATGTGTAATTTGTGTATATTTAATGCTAACTCTAAAACTAATATTAGCAGGCTAACATAGCATGAGATTTTAGAGGGAAAGTGGGGAAATGTCATTTCCACCACAGTCATTTCCACCACGGTGTTCATTGTGGTGGTAAAGACAGGTTGTGGTGGAAATGACATTGTTCGTGCTAAACAGCAAATTATTTGGGCTATAATACTGATACTAAATTCAAAAACAGTTTTAACAATATTACAATATTGTTGGTAAATAAGAGAACAATAGATAAGTAGGTTTGACATGATGTCTTGGCTCTTTCTTTAAGATGGCAAGCAATACCACAGCACAGAGGTCAAGATCATACAGAGAAAGAATAAAATCAGATCCACTTAAATATGCAGAGTCCCTCAAGAAGGACAGAGAAAGATACCTGAAGAAAAAGCAACAAGGTGTTGTTAAATCTGTGACAGAAATGCCGAAAAGAGAACAACGAAAAATGAGAAGACAGTGGCGAATTTCTCAACGAAACAGACGTAGGAAATGGAAAATGGTCTCAGCAGTGAATAGTTTCATGGCACATACAACACCACCACCATCACCAGACAACATGAGTGTTAATGCAGAAGACATCCCTGAAACACCTCAGCTGTGTGAGCCTACACCAGAGAGAACTCCACAGAGGAAAAGAGGGAGAAAAAAGGTTGCGAAGGCAAAAGCAAAGGTGTACAGAGATCTTAATGACATTAAACAAAAGCTTGAGGATGCCCTCAAAAAAGTCAACATACTGGGAGCACAGAACATGGAGACTGCATTGGGATCACCAAGTTCAAGCACACTTACCAGCACATCTCAACCCATCATAGACCTGCATGAGGGACTGATTGGAAGTTGGTGTGTGGTACGGTATGATGGGGATCCTTACCCTGGCATTATACAGGATGTGGACCCTGAGGGTTGTGCTCTGGTGAGAACCATGAGTCATATTGGCAAAAACAAGTTCTTCTGGCCTATGAGAGACGATGTTATTTGGTACCGGCCAGAAGATGTGATCAGGCTGGTCCCAGAGCCTCAACCAGTAACAAAGAGGCATGTGATGGTGGAGCCAACAGTTTGGAAAGAAATATGCTCTGTTCTTGACCATGAAACATAACTGAACCTCTGGCCCATATGAAAGTTTGACAGATACAGTATTTAGCAAATACAATGTCTATTTAGTCAGATTCAACTTGTTATTCCACATGATTACGTTTGACAGTACATGGATTTACGATATAACACACATGACAGTAATGTTTAAGTACAGAGTGTTTGCTCTGGTTCAGCATAGGCATATAAGTTTTCAATTTCAAAATATATTGCCTATTTTATCTGTTATTCAACTGGTTATATTAAGGTTATGTTAAGGTAATGATGACATAAAGGGTTTGCTCTAGTTTGTACTAGTTTGCTCTAGTTCAGCATGTAGAAAACAGTGAAGAAATGATTTGCTGATTTTTAACACAAATTCATGTTTTTTCATTTTTTGGATTGTTTTTAATTTAAAAATATTGGTGATATGTTTTTGTTCACAAATGCTGTTGCTTATTGATTTGCTCTGGTTCACCACATAGAGCAGTAGAAAAATTGTTTTTAATTGGAAGTTGCCTATCTGTCATTTCCGCCACACACTGTCTCTTCCGCCACGCCATGTCATTTCCACCACAACACATATTTTAAAGTAAAACATATAAAAAAACATACAATCAAACCAACTATATTCAGTGGTGTTGATAATTGTGCAGTTAGGGCTAAGATTTGTGTATACACTTTGAGAAATATATGATTTTGAGCTATGATAAGAAAATGAAATGTTCCATTGACCTAGTTTTAGGTGTTTTTTAGTGTAAATATTGTAAAATCTTTACAGTTACATTTCTGAAAAAAATAATACATTACAAATTTGAACAGATATGTGTGTGCTATTTAATCAAATATATTTATAACAGAAGATTTTTCATTATTTTCTCTTAAAAATACATGTTTTGTTATGTGATGGAAATGACCGTTTTCTTGGACTGTCAGATAAAAATGGCAAAAAATATATATTAGTAAATACAAATCATCACAGCCAACTTCAGGGAAGGTTTCCAGACAGATTGAGAAACCAACTGATACTAAAAAATGGTTTGTAGAAATGTTTTTATTTTCTGAAACTGTCTAGCTCAAAGAGTACCATAGTTGAAGAATTACCCAAATACTATGGCAGTGCCCTGATTTATGCAATAGCACCCCCCTGTGGCTGGTCAACTCACACCAAACACAGTAAAAGACGTCAATCACTCTGACCCAATCTGCAGGCTTTTAAATGTACCCTTGATGATTATGCCGATGATGCAATTCAAGGATTATTGGTTCTTTCAAGACAACTGGGAACTCCGGAAAAAAACGAAGTCAAATCATGTCAGTGATCATCAGGTCGGAAAGATGGCGCTCTAGAAAGATGCCCGAGTTTCCGTCTTGGAATTCCAAATTGGATGACCGTTCAAAATAATTTTTCCCAGTGGGTGCTCATCTCATCGACATCCTCCGCTCCCAATTCCCAGTTGTTTTGAAAACTGCATATATTCTGGGGTGACATCACACACTGGAGAAGTGTCATTCCCTAGACCAGGATTGTTGCCCTAGCACTACACAGCTGATTCAAATAACCAACTCATCATTTTGTTGTCGTCATTTTAGCAGACGCTCTTATCCAGAGCGACTTACAGTTAGTGCATAAATTTTCATACTGGCTCCCCGTGGGAATCAAACCCACAACCCTGGCGTTGCAAACGCCATGCTCTACCAACTGAGCTACACGGGACTACATCAAGCTTTGATTATTTAAAATCAGATGGTTTTTGCCCTAGCACTACACAAGACGTGCACCCAGGATGGGAATAGGCAATCAGCATACATTCTCCAGGCCCAGACATGTTGCATGTGTCACCCTGAACACTCACTCCTCTGGATGCTGATTGGGTGTGGTTGGCCTAAAATGATTTCTAGCTTTTTCTCCACAGCAAGAGTTGGAAGGGATGAATAATGCAAGAAGGAAGTGTGCGCGCGTACACACCTTGTTTGGTTCCAAAATGGTTTGCTTTTTGGCACCAATATATCACTCAATGCAGTAATGTACAATGGATGAACCAGAAACATGTGTGACCTTCCCATCACTCATTGTGGTTCATTCAGTAATATACTGTGTTTCACCACATTATCCAGCTACATACCTCAAGATACGTCATACAATGTTTGTTGTTTCTCAACTGAAACATGTTGAAATCAACAGTTGAGTCATGTGTTTGTTACTCATGATAATATACAGTAAAATGCCTGTGCTCATACACAGGCAGCCCAATTCTGATCTTTTTTTTCACTTATTGGTCTTTTGACCAATCAGATCAGTTCTGCAAAAGATCTGCTGTTATTGGTCCAAAGACCAATTGGTGGAAAAAAGATCAGAATTCAACTGCCTGTGTAAACGCAGCCATAGCCTTTAAATTTCCCGCCAAGTGTTTGCATTGTAGTCCAAATATTTGGCACCCTCTGAAGTTGACCATGTCATCAGAACAAATGATACTAAACAATTATTTATTATTTTAAGACCTTTCAATAACATTTTGATACAGCCTCTCTCTTTGATACAATTTCTTGACACACATTTAATGTGTGCGCAACAGAATCGACGGCTAAATAGTTCCTTCTCCTGCCTAGTTATCCTCCCCTGCATCCAGTCATAGCCCTGCTCACTCTGCCCAATGCCCAAGACCACAGGCCCTAGGAGGAGTAGCTGCCAGACTCAAACAGTTTGATGACTATGGCCTCCTCTGGCTGGAGCCTCAGTGTTTCCAGGGAGGTGGCGCCCAGGCGGTCCATCCCTGTGCTGGTCACAAACACCCCAGCAGTGGGAAGGCTGGGAGCCCAGGCTGGGTCCAGGGCTTGGGACTCAGGCCCCAGGTTGAGCAGCACCAGGAAGTGGACACAGCCCCAAGAGCGCAGGAAGGCTAGCACAGGGGCTGACGGGGGGGCCAGGGTGGAATTGGAGGAGTAGTGGGGGAGGGAGGTGGTGTTGAAGGGGAGGAAGGTGAAGCTCCCATAAAGGAGAGATTCTTCTCTGAGGCGAGAGTGACTGAGGGAGCTGAACAGAGCCAAGGCAGAGCGTTTGAGCATCCTCTGTTCCTGAAGGAAAGAACAGAGGAGGTGTCATAAACAGAGAAACAGATCAAAGAAGAAAAAAAATAGGCCTGTCATTCTGAGAGACTTTCTGTGGTAAACATCCTTAAACCACTTGCCAAAGTGCCTAGAACCACTGAGCTCAGATGTCGTAATACTGTAGGTATGTGAAGACTTACAAACTTGATATTATTTTACTGACTAAAATTGCCCGTTTTGGAGAGGTTTGGACTACTCACCCCAACAGAGTCGTTCAGTCCATTGGTCTTGTCTGCCTCACGTTCCCAGCTCATATCTGCAGACACATTCTTCACCACAGAAAGAAAACGATTGAATGGTGTTCCACTGTACTAAAGCATGACCACATCAGATGCAGTTGGTCTGTATTGCATCCCTAGGACTGAGGTCTCTTACCGGTGAATGGACTATTTCTTCTCCGTATTTGACAACAGGTGATCCAGGTAGTGTCATCATCAGAACCAGGAGTATTCTGTGCAACACCGGTGATGCTTCACCGCCCACCTGGCATCGCAACGACACACACAATTGATGTAATTTTGCCAATAAATAAGGAGTTGGACACCATGCTCACTAGCCTATACTTTGTGATAGAATTAACAGAAAGAATGTCGGGTCATTACCGTCCAACTGGGCCAAATTTCACCGTGGGATGTCGACAGATGTCTCTCCACAGCAATGGCCACTTCCTGTCCAGACAGGAGGTGATGCTCGTGCGGCAGTAGTGACATCATAACTAGCTCCACCAATGAGCGGTTGGCTGACGTGCTAGAGGTATTCAGGGCAGGTAGAGACTCTCCTGTTTGTTTCACCACTACAATCCTGCACAGATGACACAGGTTTCATTCCAACTTCAACCGCAACTACTTTGCTATAAAAACATGAACTACATATTCCTCAATCCTAACAGATTCCTCACATATATCTAAAACAAAGATATCATTTTAATGAACACAGGTATGACAGTATGTGAGAGTTGTGTATCATTTGTTATGCATATTAAAAGTGTTTGCAGTGCCACAGCACCTCTCTTCATCTGATGTGCTGAACTCCTTGACCAGAACTCTCCACTCTGTCAGGGTCTAAAACGAACAGACAACATGAATAGATAATATAACATTCAGTTAAACATCAGTGCTTATAATGCATGAACCTGAAATAAATTGTTCTGGCTTTGATTGGTTGGCAACCAATTTTGAGCATTGTTCAACAGTCTAACCTTTTCTGAATATGCAGCGTCTGTGTCACAGATCCCAAATCCTGCCACACCCTGTTCCAACCAAAATCTGAGTGCATACTGGAGAAACAGAACTATTATTAAAACTCATTCAGTCTATGTAACAATTGAAACCAAGATCTAGCCATTCTACCCCATGGTGTCATGCAAGACCTAGCCTACCTGTATTGAGCCAGTGAGGTCAGAGGGCACAGCAGAGTTGTTGCCTACTGAGTCTTGGGGTCCGAACAGGTCCAGCTCACAGAAGTCAAACACTACTTTGATGCCTAAAGGAGGGAGACCATGTGAATAGTGGATCAGAACATACAATAAGTTAAGTGCATCTTTCAAGAGCTCTGGGAATGTCCTTGTGAGGATACAGGCTAGCTGGCCTCGGTTTAAGTCTGGCATTAGCCAACTTGTTGTAAGGGCCAGGGGCGCAACTTTGGTTTTAGAAGTCAGATAAACACTCCAAAACAGCCTACCCGACCGCTCGGAGGCGTCCGCATGGTCCTAAAGCACACCGTTGCCTCGTTTTGTATCACATTCCAATGATAAAACTGGGTGGTGGGGTGGCATGTCCCCCCCCCCGTCCCAAGTGAAAGTTGAGCCCCTGGTAAGGGCAATGATGTTTTGAGTACATACCTGCTTTGTGGCTCTCCATGAGCAGTTGTTGGATCTGAGGCACTGTACCCACTCGCTTATCAATCTTTTTGAGGTCCAGAGGGGACGCGTCCTGGTAAAACAGCCCTTCCAGAATCAGAGCCTCCACACCCAGGGACTTCAGGTAAGGTAGGCGCTCACATACCACTGAACAACCAGAAGAATACCACAAAACAACTCAGAAACTAGCTTTACAGACATGACGCTTCGATACAGCTACGAAGTAGCAGGTTAGGAGAATATATGCAGCAGCATAGCCACAGGAAGAAGGGGGACTGAGGGTGCAGCAGCACCCCCTGAAAAATCGGAATGTAATTTAAAAGATAAATAAAATAAATTTTTCCCCTCACAAAAGTTGTGCACTGGGCTTGTAGTCCTGTATTAGCGGACGATATAGCTGTCTGTAGTGCAGACAAACACGTTTTTCCAGCAGGTCTGCGATTTTTAATTTTTTTTTTGCAGCACCCCCAAACTATTTCCAAAGGCTCACAGGTTAGGAGAACTAGGTTAACGTTAGGAAAAGGCTTAGCGAAAACACCCTCCTAACCTGCTACTTCCAGTTGTAGCTGCATCTTTTTAGGAAGTTCCCCATATCACAGAGTTAGGCTATTGTTATTGACTGGACTTCAAGAGTAGGCCTGTATCATAAAATTCATGAAAACGAGTTCATGCAAGATAGACTACACACACACACTTCATGACCAAAAGTATGTGGACACCTGCTCGTCGAACATCTCATTCCAAAATCATGGGCATTAATATGGAGTTGGTCCCCCCTTTGCTGCTATAACAGCCACGACTCTTCTGGGAAGGCTTTCCACTAGATGTTGGAACATTGCTGCAGGGACTTGCTTCCATTCAGTCACAAGAGCATTAGTGAGGTCGGGCACTGATGTTGGGGCGATTAGGCCTGGCTTGCAGACGGCGTTCCAATTCATCCCAACGGTCCTCGATGGGGTTGTGGTCAGGGCTCTGTGCAGGCCAGTCAAGTTCTTCCACACCGATCTCAACAAACCATTTCTATATGGACCTCATTGTACAGGGGCATTGTCATGCTGAAACAGGAAAGGGCCTTCCCCAAACTGTTGCAACAAAGTTGGAAGCACAGAATCGACTAGAACGTCATTGTATGCTGTAGCGTTAAGATTACCCTTAACTGGAACTAAGTGGCCTAGCCCGAACCACGACAAACAGAGGCAGTTTGAAACTCAGTAGTGAGTGTTGCAACTGAGGACTGACAATTTTTACACACTACGCGCTTCAGCACTCGACGGTCCAGTTATGTGCGCTTGTGTGACCTACCACTTCATGGCTGAACAGTTGATGCTCCTAGACATTTCCACTTCACAATAACAGCACTTACAGTTGACTGGGGAAGCTCTAGCAGAGCAGAAATTTGACAAACTGGCTTGTTGGAAAGCTGGCATCCTATGATGGTGCCATGTTGAAGGTCACGGAGCTCTTCAGTAAGGCCATTCTACTGACAATGTTTGTCTATGGATATTGCATGGCTGTGTGCTCGAGTTTATACGCCTGTCACCAATGGGTGTGGCTGAAATAGCCAAATCCACTAATTTGTGTCCACATACTTTTGTATATCAGTAGGCCTAATCATGGATTAATTTAGTTCAACCCAATGCCTTTTATGAATGTTTAAGATTGCATTGTCGTTTTTCGTGAGTTTTGTGGTTAGAAAACATTAAATACAATGTTTGAACTGAAGGCACCACTTTCCCAGTGCATGCACACTTTACATTGTGATGAGAGTAGTCTATATAGTGCGGCTACTGTATTCTTGGGTGTTTAAGTCCTTTATTAACTCACCGTCGATACCACCTGGCACCTCGTTCTGGGCGTCCATGAGCAGTATGGGCTGTAGGCGGTAAAACAGCGCCCTCTGCCACCACAGTAGCGGCGGTGCGACCGGCCGTGGGCTCTGCACTATTATGGCGATAGAGGCGCCCAGCAAGGCCAGCCAACCCAGCCAGAAGAACAGCACCAAGCGGGAGCGTATTTTCCTCCACCCCGGGCCCCCCGCTTCGAGCTCCAGCTGCTCCTTGGACATGGGCTGCCATTTCGGAGTCTCTGGTTCGGGGTCCGTGATCAGCAGTGGGACCGTCTCAGAGCCACCCAGACTGCCCGATATCCCTGGGCCCACTGCCACGCTGCCATAGCCACCATCCATGTTCAATGGCATTCCAATTCGGCTAATGCAGTTTCAATGACAAATATTTTGCAAAATAAAAAATTCCATAATCCAATATTATTTACATAAAACGAAACTATCAATTCATAGTTGATAGGCCTACAACTAGGCTACAATTCATTACACTTTCAAACATTTGATGACTTCAATGGAGGGGTTACGCACGTGCGCCATCTACAAAACGGACGTATTTTTTATTTTTAGCTTGCGTAAAATAGGCTACAAACTTGCTTCTATTTTTGTGCCCCTTTCGATAAAATATTTTACTTAACAGCCCCCGTGAAGCTGCAAAGCACACCGAGGGAACTCGCCTACAGGACAGGTGAAGGCTGTTACCGTTCGGATTGTCTGGATGGAGGCCAGGAATACCCTGACAGTGATCCTGTCATCTCTAATGTGGCAGGTGAGTGCACACACTTGCATGTCATCTTCCTACCATGCGTTTTAAAATAATCAAATTAGCCCATTTACCTTGTCAGTTAATTTGAATTCTAACTCCATCCATTAGCTAGATTAACCCACGTTTAATTTAACCAATATTGATCAGATGAAACAAATGAAAAAAATATTTTCCTGGTCAAAGCAATATTCTGACTACCTGACAAACAAAACGTAATTTCCCTATCAGTGACAAAGAAAATAAATGTAGGCTTACCTTTGAATTTAAGATTAATAGAAAAATAAAAAAAATAACCTACTCTTCCTTGGCTCTCTCACATGTCACACCCACACATGCGTGAATAATTTGCTAAATGTCATGTTGTGCAAGGCATAAAATGCTGAACTGTTATCTATAATATTGATTATAGAAAATCTTGGACATTAAGACTGTTACATCGCTTCATTTCTTGTTACAAAAGGAATAAACTGCTAGCAGACATTGTAACAACCAACACCAGACTGTGTGACATCTATCCCTGTGAGTATTTGATGGCTAATAACTCCATGTTAGAATAAGATTAGGATGAAAATGGTTCCCATTTCAACACCATACCTTTGTCTTTCCATTACTGTTGAAAAGAGGCTTGCAAAATATACTGGTACTGAGAAATACACGCAAGAGTAAAATGTGACAATCAGCACCGGTCTCCTCTAATATCAGTTAAATCCAATGCTATGATCTCTCTAAAAGCATCATAACGCACCTGATAACTGCCAACAGTCTGGTCTTTGAGCTCTTATCTTCCTACTGTTCGTTTAGTCTTTATCCTCCTCTTCTGCTGTCTGCAGACCAGTTCTATCCAGTTGTTTCTTTGGCCTCTAAACATTTAAGGGGTGTGGAGGTGAGAGGGCCACTGTGTCTATCAAATGAAATCTTGGCTGGAGCAATTAGTATGGAGGTGTTGAGTCTTGCCACACCCTGACAACACATTCCGGAGAACCTGTGCTCAACGGGTCTGAGGCCTTGGTAGGGCTTCATTAGAGCAAGAACTCCCTACTTGTTAGTTTAGATCACGTGTCAAACTCGGAGGGCCGAGTGTCTGCAGGTTTTTGCTCCTCCCTTGTACTTGATTGATGAATTAAGGTCACTGATTAGTAAGGAACTCCCCTCACCTGGTTGTCTAGGTCTTAATTGAAAGGAAAAAACTAAAACCTGCATACACTAGGCCCTCCATGGAATGAGTTTGATGGCCCTGGTTTAGATGCATACAACTGGCCAAAAGACAGTTCTGGAATGATATCAATGGTTCGTTATGGAACTGTCTTGTCTTCTTCTCCCTTGGTCCTTAGTCTAACCCTGTAGTGCTGTATCTATCAGTCTGAAGGCTGTAATTGGATGGTAATCAAACATTTTAGGAGTAAGAGCCCACTCCGCTCCATCAAAAACAACAGAACAAATTGTTCACAGAATGTAATATTATTTCATTAATTTATTGCCCCCTTGGGTCAGCTAAGGGCTTAAATCCCTTAGCTTGCCCATACAGTCATCAAATCACTGACATACTATTGTGAAAGTTCTCATGGTAATGTGTTGTGCTGTCGAATCCTCTTGGATCCTATTTCCTACGGATTTCATAGAATTCAAACAGACATGCTGCAGCAGTGTTTGATCTCTAGTCTAGCTCTTTTTGACCTCTGACCCCTGTCATGGAATACAGTAACTATGTTCATCCATTTGGTATGATCCGAAGGAGGAATAAAGTAACCATACAACTACAGAGAGCTTTGGAAGGCAGCACAATGACATGTATTGAAAAGAAAACATGCTAACAGCAAAACACTTATTTTTGCAAACAGAAAAACAGTTTGCCTGTAGCTATACTACTTTACGCATCACACTGGTCTAAATCATGTCTAACTGTGAGCTCCTGTGCTCTAAACTGCTAAAGGTTACATTTTATGAGATACAGTATGTGTGCCAATAATCCCACACCCCATATTATCCTCACTCACTCAATCACTCACTCACTCCCTCACTCACACACACAATCACACACACTGGACATATGATGTTGTGTGCATCACCGTCATGACACACATCTATTCATGTCTCCTATGCTCCCTCACAGGATTGTGCAGATTATTTAGTGTAGGCCATCACAGGACACATGCATATCAGAGCCTTCACTGGTCTGCAATGGTTGAAGGGGTGTTTTTTCAACTGAATTTGATGCTGTAGTATGGAGTTGTACACTGCTTAAACATATCAATTTCCTTTTAAATGAACATGATCAGCCTTATTCATAAGCTTCTAGTCTTGAAGAAAAGTAACTACCCAGGCACTGTAAAGTGTAAAGTAAGAAAGTTAATAAATATTATATCGACTTGTCATGTATTTTAAAGAATAGTTTTGGAATATGTCATTCTTCCCTTACTGGAATAATGCTAAATATTTTATATTTTCTGATGATACAGTAGACTTGTTGTTAGACAGTGTAAATGAGGAACAGAGAAGAGATGATTGGCTAAGGGCAGGCCCAGGTCAAACCCCCTCCCACCATAGTTCTATATTTAGCTATTGGCTGATTCCTCAGCTGAAAAGCGGAGGCCCCAGTTCTAAATGGTTGCCAGGGATACGTGAGGCTGAAGAATACATTTCCATGGATACGAATAGTTGGACTCTTCAGATCCTCCGATGTCCTGGAATGCGACAAGTCAATGATGTGTCAGTGAAAAACAGTAACTTACTTTGTAGTCCAGTTTGCACTTATGTGTTTAGTGAGACATGGTGCAAGAGTGTGTGACCTATGTTTGGTCGTCTCCTAACATTGGTTCCAGAGAACTGAAGGCCGTTACAAACTTCTGATATGCAGAGATGACACAGTCTCTTCTGCAAAGGAAAAAGAGAACAAGTTATGATAAATTATGAACATTTAATATAAAAAATCACTCCTATTCATTCACACACATCTAGGCCTCTGTGTCGCTTTTTGAACTCTGACTGGTGAGTCGTGTGAGTGAGGGACTTACTTGCTGGTGACTCCTCCCCCTGGTGGCAGGCCAGGTATGTTCTCAGAGACCAGAAACTTCATCACGTACAGCAGGTCAGGGTCCTTGTCCTGCGACTTTAGCAAGTTGACAATCTCTACACACACAGACAGAGTGAAAGGGAGAGAGTGATGTAATGATCGGTTACTGTCATCAGAGGGGAGAATTAAGCTGCCATTGTCTCAGAGCTCTTGTTATTGTTATCAAGTTTCATTTTGTTGTGATGTCATATTCATATGAAAGCCTATTGTGAGTGAGACCAAGCCAAGATGGTTTAGAGCTGCTCACTCACTCCCTCACTCACACACACAATCACACACACTGGACATATGATGTTGTGTGCATCACCGTCATGACACACATCTATTCATGTAAGCTTCATCGCAACTCAAGCCCATCAAAAGACCTACCTTCCACTTTGGCCTCGAGGAGTGTCTCTAGCTCGGCCTCTTTTTGTAGGGCCTCTTGTGACACCTGGGGTGCGCCAGGGAAGGTCACGATGATGATGCTCATGTTGTCCAAACTACCCTGTAGGGGGCGACAAAGATATAGGCACAATTCTAATAAGAAACACTGTTTCTTGGCATATGATTCATTTCAATAATGTAATTTGTAACCCCAAACATTGAAAAGCTAAATGAAATGCCATGAAAGAAAGCTGACATAATGCTGCCACTTGATATTGAAGTTTACTTGAGGAATAATATGATGATGAGGAATATTCTTTGCTTGCTTAATGATAATGTGAACAAAGAAGAAAATAAGTGTCATTATGACATCACAATGGAGAACAGGACTATGAAGTCTCTGTCATGTAAAGATCTTCTAAGCTGGGAATATTTTTACATGACACTGCAGATGGAGGGATATTGTGATGTCATAATTGTGTACTGACAGAGAGCAGAAATGTGAATTTTGGAAACAGGTCACAATGGAACAGTGGGACATAGAATTAGGAATTAGAATACTAGAATGGACATGAACCATCTTATGAAACTTATCCTGTAAGTCGCTATGGATAATAAATGGCTAAAATGTAATGATGGTCCAAAGTTCAGCCATGGTTTGCCTGTGCTGTGATTAGATATTGTGTAAAACAACGGATGTGAAGAATTTATCTGCACTGTATGTGTGTTAGCTAGCTAGCCAGCCAGTTTTAGAGGAGTGATTCCATTAATTAATATGCCAATATCCCATTCAATCCCAGCCATACACTGGCTCAAATCAGTTGATGATAGGTCTTACACAAGTTGTAAATTAAACAAGTACTGATATTGTAACATATAATAGCTAAAAACTAAATATGACACATTTACAGTGCCTTGCATTTACATTTTAGTCATTTAGCAGACGCTCTTATCCAGAGCGACTTACAGTTAGTGAATACATATTTTTTTTTAAATACTGGCCCCCCGTGGGAATCGAACCCACAACCCTGGCGTTGCAAACGCCATGCTCTATCAACTGAGCTACATCCCTGCCGGCCATTCCCTCCCCTACCCTGGACGACGCTGGGCCAATTGTGCGCCGCCCATGAGTCTCCCGGTCGCGGCCGGCTGCGACAGAGCCTGGATTCGAACCAGGATCTCTAGTGGCACAGTTAGCACTGCCACTAGAGTATTCATCCCCCTTGGCATTTTTCCTATTTTGTTGCATTACAACCTGTAATTTAAATGGATTTTTATTTGGATTTCATGTAATGGACATACACAAAATAGTCCAAATTGGTGAAGTGAAATGAAAAAAAGTACTTGTTTAAAAAAAAAAAAAAAGAATCAATAACGGAAAAGTGGTGCGTACATATGTATTCACCCCCTTTGCTATGAAGCCCCTAAATAAGATCTGGTGCAACCAATTACCCTCAGAAGTCACATAATTAGTTAAATAAAGTCCACCTGTGTGCAATCTAAGTGTCACATGATCTGTCACATGATCTCAGTATATATACAGTACACCTGTCCTCTCATCACCCCGAGAACACCATCCCCACAGTGAAGCATGGTGGTGGCAGGGACTGGGAAACTGGTCAGAATTGAAGGAATGATGGATGGCGCTAAATTCAGGGAAATTCTTGAGGGAAACCTGTTTCAGTCTTCCAGAGATTTGAGACTGGGACGGAGGTTCACCTTCCAGCATGGTAATGACCCTAAGCATACTGCTAAAGCAACACTTGAGTAGTTTAAGGGGAAACATTTAAATGTCTTGGAATGGCTTAGTCAAAGCCCAGACCTCAATCCAATTGAGAATCTGTGGTATGACTTAAAGATTGCTGTCTACCAGCGGAACCCATCCAACTTGAAGGAGCTGGAGCAGTTTTGCCTTGAAGAATGGGCAAAAATCCCAGTGGCTAGATGTGCCAAGCTTATATAGACATACCCCAAGAGACTTGAAGCTGTAAATGCTGCAAAGGGTGGCTCTACAAAGTATTGACATTGGGGTGGTGAATAGTTATGCAGGCTCAAGTTTTCTGTTTTTTTGTCTTATTTCTTGATTGTTTCACACATTTTTTTATTTTGCATCTTCAAAGTGGTAGGCATGTTGTGTAAATCAAATGATACAACCCCCCAAAAAATCCATTTTAATTCCAGGTTGTAAGGCAACAAAATAGGAAAAATGCCAAGGGGGGTGAATACTTTCTCAAGCCACTGTATGTATTGTTTACATATATTGTATTTATAATTATATGACAGTATTTTAGGTTGAATATAATTCTATTAGACCAACATGGCTGCCATTTTCACCCACTTCTGGAATTTTGAGGGATCATGACATAGCCCCTCTAGTAATTTAATAGGATCTCTATGGGGACTAATTGGTTATTGTGATGTCATGTCATAGAGCTGAGAAACTAGGTTCACTGTGTGCTACAACATAACCCATCTAGCTTAAGTACAGACTCCAAGGAGGTAAGCCTGTTCTGTTGCCATTGGTAAAGTGAGGCTCTTCTTGGCCAGGTTAATAGGCCTAGCTCTCAGCTGGTGTGGCCCTGAGACCCTGACAGTCTAACATACACACTCACCCATAATCCTTCACTGTGTTGCCCTCACCTCTGTCCCTCTCTCCGTCTCTCCCCTCTCTCTATAGCTCCCTCTCATAATCCTGCTATTTAGAGGACAGGTACAGGACGTGCCATTGTAAGTCCTAACCAACATAAGCAGACCTGAATAAGATAACTGCTTACATAATGCTTGGTACATTAGGTATGTAATGATGTAGGCCCTTCAACACACACCCTGTCCAGTGCTGAGTGCCATCATGTACTCCCCCTTCACAAAGGTGGTGACCCTTGTGACCTAAATAATTATCGCCCTATTTCTAAACTTTCTTGCCGAGCTAACATATTAGAATCCTTGATTAATTCTCAGCTAAGATCTTTTTTTAATCTTTGAAATGTGTTCTAAAATGTACATCAGTCGGGTTTTAGACCAGGCCATAGCACTATCTCTGCTGCATCCCTAGTTATAAATGATGTGGTTAAATGTATGGATGCTGCCCTATTCATTGACCTGTCAAATGCTTTCGATACTGTTGATCACTCACTGCTAATTCGGAGGTTTTCCTCAATTGGACTAGACCAGGCTGCATGTAACTGGTTTAAAGATCATGTGATAGATAGAACTCAATGTGTATCTACTGATGGTGTTAAATCAGGTTTTCTGGATATTACGAAAGGTGCCTTGCAGGGGTCGATTCAGGGTCCTGTACTTTTTACTGTTTACATTTAACAATATCGACTTGTCTGTAAAAAAAAAAGTGTAACCTGCACTGTATGCCGATGATACTGTTGTGTATGCTATTGCCCCCACGGTTGACCAGGCTCTATCTGAACTACAGTCGGCATTCATTGTATTACAGAACAAACTTTATTGACCTGAAATTAGTATTGAACGCAGGTAAAACGAAGTATATATTGTTCTCTACACTCTTAGAAGGTGCTATCTAGAACCTAAAAGGGTTATTTGGCTGTCCCCATAGGAGAACCCTTTGAAAAAACCTTTTTGGTTCCAGGTAGAACCCTTTTGAGTTCCATGTAGAATATTTTACACTGAGAGTTCTACATGGAACCCAAAAGAGTTCTACCCGGAACCAAAAAGGGTTCTACCTGGAACCAAAAATAACATGTTTGGAACCCTTTTTTCAAAGAGTGTAGAGCGCATATAAATAACTCTGATTTAAGAATATGTACTTTGGATGGTGTCCATATTGATCTTGTCCCTGCTTAGAAATATCTGGGCATCTGGATAGATGAAAGGATGTCTTTTAAAAAGCATATTGATGAGTTAGTTAAGAAGCTGAGAATAGAAATGGGCTTCTTCTATAGAAATAGGTCCTGCGTCTCGCTAAATAGTAGAAAGCAGATTATTCAGTCGACGTTCCTATTGGTCCTAGAGTATTGCGACATCATCTATATGAATGCAGCTGCCACTTCATTAAAGCCGTTAGATGCAGTTTATCATAGCGCACTGCACTTTATTACGGGCGACAATTTTAGTACTCATCACTGCATTCTCTACCAGAAAGTTGGATCTCTTTGATGTCACTTAGGTTGATACATTGCTATTTTTTCATTTATAAAGCCATTTTACAAAAAGTCCCACTGTACCTAACATATTTACTAAACTTTAGACATACAAGTTACCACACCCAGTCCCAGGGATGGCTAACTCTGGAAATTCCTTTGGTCTCTACTGAGTTAGGTAAATCAGCTTTTAGTTTTCTTGCACCTAATTTGTGGAAAAATCTTGAAAATGTTCTTACATTTGATGTTTTGGTGCCTCTAGGGCAATTCAGAAAGCTGATTGAGGACCTTATTACTGATGAATGTTTTTTTTTTTATGACTGTTTTTCTTTCTGCTTGCATTTTGTATTTACATTTTGATGTGTGTATTTTCTGTAATTTATGTAATTCAGGGCTCGTCTGTAAAAGAGACCCTGGTCTCAGAATGACTCCATGATAAAAATAATAATATTAATAATAATCTTGAATTAAAGGCAATATTTAGACTGTATTTAGAACATGTCCATTGTCTATGGAGGAGACTCCCTGCAGTGCAGTGTAAGCCGTCTTGCTGTACCAACCTGGCTGTGTCCTGCTGTTAAATCCTCTGACTGATCTGAACACTGAGTATTAGAATGGTATTAGTCTCCAAGACTCCAGGAGGGGAGAGGACAGCCAAGACCTGGGGATGATATCATTGCCTGAAGATACTGCCAAAGTCCTCTTAACCCTCTCACCCCTGGCACCTTCTGACTTTCCATACAATGTCCAGTTATGGTCCTTGTTGCAATTTACTCACTTTGGCAATTAGTGAGTGTGAGTGTACACCTTTTGAAGTTTATACTGTGGTCATGCATACGTACCCATATAGAGGAGGTAGAGGTTTAGGATCAGTGTGATTCTGCATGTAGTGTGATTTGATCATTTATACACTGACCTTATAGAGGCAGAGGTCAATGACCTGGTTGCAGATCTCCCTCAGGTCATCGCACACCTGCAGGCGGCTGCGGACGAACGCACACAGCTCCTCGTTGCCGATGGCGTCCCACACACCGTCACAAGCCACTATGAGGAACTCGTCTTGCGGGGACCTCTCCAGCTCGTACACCTCTGGCTCTGGGGAGACCAGCTGCTCAGTCTGGGACCTCCAGTCCACTTCCTTAAAGTCAAAGTCTCCCAGGGACCTGGACACGGCCAGGGAGCCGTTCACCCTATGCTGGGTCACCGAGCCGCCTGCGTTCTGTATTCGCTCCTTCTCCCTAGGGTTGAAAGGCTTGTGGTCCTCCGTGTAGAAGATGACCTGGCCGTCACGGCAGAGGAGCGTCCGCGAGTCGCCACAGTTGATGAAGTAGACATAATGCGGCGAGAGCATGACGGCGGCCGCCGTGGAGCCGCTGCGCTCCCAGCATTCCTGGCGCGTCAGCGTGTGCATATGGCTGTCGATGGCCAGGAAGCCCTCGACGATCCCCTCCTTCACATCATCAGGGTGCTCCTCCGCCTTTACACGCCCTGGAGGCAGGAGAGATCAATGCGGGTTAGAGACCTGACCTATAGGTGACAAATACACATAATTTCGTTCTAATTCATATTAGGTCGCGCTGCCTAAAATCGATAAGCAGAAGTTAACGACAGTGTGGCCAACTACAGGATAACTACACATAGTTACAATACAATTATTTGACCCCCAGCCTTACCAGCTTGGTTCCAGGGGACAAATGCCTACTGTTGGTGCCCTGCGAGAGCCCAAATCTCAGAGCTCAGGTCGCGTTGTTGTATTCCTCTGAGGTCACTTTCTGTCTGTCTTGCTTGTGGCATTAATTTATTAATTAATGCCATGTAGGTTAGGATTAAACATTTGTTTTGAGTTAAGTAGCATACACTGTAGGCTCAAGTGTCAGATTAAGTATCTCATACTTCGGGCCAAGAACAAAGATCAAGAGGTTTTCAACAACAACAGCTGTCAGCCATGTTGTGCTACCATGTTTATGTTTAGGAATGATAAATAAAACCGAGAGAGATATTGTCTTTGGTATTCAAGATCAAGATTACACTCTCCCTCATACAGCATACACATAGCCTACTGCACAACGGCACCTTGTCATTGTGCCAATGGAAGACACCCATGCCTAAGACAAAGACGTTGTTCATTGATCTATCAAACAATATGTCTGTAGCTACGTATGTCTGTGGAATGCACACTGGAAATAGGTGTTGTAAAATGCTTCCCTACTTGCCCAAATAAATGCTTGCACATATTCCCTTCAAGTGAAAATAAACTAGGCTGCCGACAATTATATAAATCAGTTAGTCAAAGTGCGCGGCCAAATTTGGTACCTGTATCGAGGATGTGTTGCAGCAGGTTGCGGGAGCAGTACTGTGCCACCGTGTTGCCAGCGTGTCCATCAAACACAGCATAGTAGCCCCACTCCGCCAGCTCCCCTCCCATCTCCGGCATGCAGGCGTGGGCGTCCTCCATCTGCGCCCTCCAGCCCTGCATGCTGGCCGTTGCATAGTTCACCCCCCACTGAGACCTCCCCTCGGCCACGTGTTTCTCCAGAATGGGTCGGTCCAGGTAGACACTCGGCCCGTTATCCTCATCACTGAAGTCCTCTTCGTTCCCCTCCTGGCCATCTCCCTGTCCCCCCTTAAAGAAGAAGGTGACCATCTTCTCTGTCTCCTTGGCTAGCTGGCGGAGGAAGGAGGGCACCTCCACGGTGCTGGCCCGCCTGGCCGTCCTCATGGCTCCTCGGAAGCGCCGCTCGAGTCTCTTTCCTGACCTGGTGCTGGTCCTCTTCTTCCCCTCTCTCCTCCTTCTCCCAGTCTGTGTCCCCCGCAGCAGGTCCAGGGCAGTGGGTTTAGCTGGACACGCTGAGCAGGTGGACAATAAGTTGACTCTAGACTGTAGAGTTGGGTTTAGGTGGGCTTCACTAGATACTGGCAGAAATCGCTGTGGCCATCCTTGTCTTTGTAAACCTGGCTTGTTGGCGTAGCTTCTGGATTCCTAGCATTTGTCTCAATGTCTTTATGTGTTGTGATATGTGGAGTGTATGTGGCTGTATGATGTCCACTCTATCTCCTTCTCTGTCTTTCTACCCCTCTTTCTCTCCTGTCCAGTGTTTGCCCTGTGATGCTATTGGCCTATATCTATTTCTGTTGACTTATCCCTCAGCATGATCACCCCTCTCTTCTCTCTCTCTCGCGCTCTCTCTCTCTCTCTCTCTCTCTCTCTCTCTCTCTCTCTCTCTCTCTCTCTCTCTCGCTCTCTCGCTCTCTCTCTCTCTCTCTCTCCCTACTAGTTAATCCCCAACCTGCGAGGGATCTTAGATTAGCACTGTATGACCGAATGAACAGTGTGGATTATGAGCCTGTCAGCGTTTCATAGCAGCACAGTGGACAGCTAGAATGAGCTCTCCAACTCTCTGTAACTGGACCTTTGTAGTTTATTTTCAGAACACTTTAAGACCTGTTAGCAATGGTTCACTGAATATAGTCCACCTTTGAATTTGCGCGCCCACTCTCTTTCTCTTTGTCTCTCTTTGTCTCTTTCTCTTTAACACAATGCCACACATACTCTCACACACAACACACACACACACACACACAACACACACACACACACGTTAGAATGGATTAGCCAATCAGTGACACATTCTGACTGATATGGAGGACCCAGATTATTATCCATGTGTGTCATGATTAAACCAGTTTAACAGTTCAGCCAGTTTAATACGAGTCAGTTTACCTCATTGCTGATATAACTGAAGCATAAGAGGGAAATCCTCACTAAACAGCAGGTGTGATCCTCATCATCAGATGTCCCCTAGCTATAGTATAAGCCTAGGCATTCCTCTTCCATCTCTGCTGTTTCTCTTAAACTAATTACCTGGTGTGTATTTGCAGCCTTTGATCTATTTTAGATGCAGTCATTCTGGCGTGGTCTAGTAGATTACTGGATTTAAAGGTTGGGAGCTGATCAAGCTATCTATAGAGCCCATAATAGGTTGAGTTATGGGTTCAGGTTGGGGGTGGGACCCGCTATATGGTGGTCAGATACAGAAGGGAATGAGTAAGTAACCGACACATGCACTCCCCTCCGTATTTATTTGGACAGTGAAGCTAAAATGTGTACATTTGGCTCTATACTCCCACGTTTTGGATTTGAGATCAAATGTTTCAGATGAGGTGACAGTACAAAATGTCACCTTTTATTTTAGGGTATTTCTCATATATCTGTTTTACCATTTAGAAATGAAAGCACTTCATGTATCTACTTTTTTTTTTCTTCGTACATGTGACGACCCTCCCACTCTGTCTGCCGAATTCTTTCTCTTTGCTCTTGTGTTCCTTAATAGGATGTCGGTGGGCGGAGCCGGGAGGGTCGTCAGCGAAAAGGGACACACCTGGGCTCGGGTGTGTCCCGGGGATAAATACACCTTTCCCTCATACATTGAAGAGACTCTCTCCACACAGACACACTGTTGTTTTTGGTTGCGGCATTTTGGGGCTTCTTTGTATTGGCACCTCTCAACACCCCTCATTATCACCATCTATGCATGCATCCACTCACTTACACTAATGATTACACACCATTGTTACTTGGATATAGTTTACTTTATTTAATAAATATGTTTGTTATTTCTTTATCTCTGCGTTGTCTCCCTCTTTGTTATGGGCTTCGAGGCGGTTCGTAACATACAGTATGTGGACAAATTCACTTGTGTATGAAAATATTCTAACTTTATTATTTGGTCCCATATTCCTAGCACGTGACTACATCAAGCTTGTGACTCTACAAACGTGTTGGATGCATTTACAGTTTGTTTTGGTTGTGTTTTGGATTATACGTTTGCCCAATAGGAACTGAATGGTGAATAATGTATTGTCATTTTGGAGTCACTTATTGTAAATAAGAATAGAAGATGTTTCTGAACACTTTCTACATTAATGTGGATAATCATGAATGAGAGAGTCACAGAGGAAGAAATGTGTGTGTATGTTAGCATCGCACCAGCAGCACTTATGTAATCCTGCTCCTCAGACCCAGTTTGATCTGTTGGTCAAGTCAGGCCATGAGATGAGTGAGAGTGAACTCATATGCTTTAATTGTTTAGACCAAAAACGTGTGAGTAAGTTTATCCATTAAACATGAAGAATCCAATGCATTCTGTTTTTAATATCCCATTACATGAGCACGCAGTAATTGCAGTAGTTGGCCAGATGTCATTTTACGTTGCTGAATGTATTTCCTAAAACCTCTTTGAAATTATAATATACTGTGTTCAAAACATTTGGAACATCTGCTCTTTCATTGACATAGATTGACCAGGTGAATCCAGGTGAAGGCTATGATCCCTTATTGATGTCACTTGTTAAATCCACTTCAATCAGTGTAGATGAAGGGGAGGAGACAGGTTAAAGAAGGATCTTTAAGCCTTGAGACATGGATTGTGTATGTGTGCCATTCAGAGGGTGAATGGGCAAGACAAAATATTTAAGTGCCTTTGAACGGGGTATGGTAGTAGGTGCCAGGCGCACTGGTTTGAGTGTGTCAAGAACTGCAACACTGCTGGGTTTTTCACACACAACAGTTTCCTGTGTGTGTATCAAGAATGGTCCACCACCCAAAGGACATCCAACCAACTTGACACAACTGTGGGAAGCTTTGGAGTCAACATGGGCCAGCATCCCTGTGGAACGCTTTCGACGCCTTGTAGTCCATGCCCTGATGAATTGAGGCTGTTCTGAGGGTAAAGGGGGTGCAACTCAATATTAGGAATGTGTTCCTAATGTTCTGTACACTGAGTCTATTGTACCAGCCAGGAAGTGCCTCATTATTATTAAATGTGTGTTTTCTGAACTGAGAAAATGTCAATATTTTCATATAATTTCCCCCTTATATATTGTCCCAGTCTGAACTGTGAGTCAGTGCAGTCAGTGATGAGCAGGAGGATTTAGCTGACGCATCATGTGACCACTCATTTGCAGAAGTAGCTTCAGGCAGCACACAGGGGATACAATGGGCTGAGATGCTGCTTACTGCCACCAGGCAATCTACAAATGCACCCTTCACACATGGCGGTTATTCAAAACACCCAATAATACGTACAGTATGTCTGTCTGTGTGTGGGAGGGTGCAAAAGGACATGTATTTTTAATGAGCTCTATGTTTCCCTTTGTTATGTGCATGCAAGAAGGCCATGCCTACTACCACTACCAATCTTCCTGGACCCCAGGAAAAGTAGCTGCTGGCTTGGCAGCAGCTAATGGGGATCCCTAATAAATACAAAATACAAATACAAAGCCCCGTAAACTGCTTATGTGAAATTACAAAAGCAGACAGAGATATACTCCACTTGGCTGGATGCACACACTAATGATTAGTCATGAATGGAAGGAGGGAAACACACGCGCTCACTTATGCACACATACACACATACACACATACACACACACACACACACACTCTTTCTCTGGCTCTGCCCTGCCTGTGCTGCTCCCCGGCTGTCAAAGTGATGTGAGAGCAAGAGAGGGAGGGAGGGGGGAAATAGAGAGCAGGAAGGGGGAGGGAGGGAGGGGCCCGTGAGCGAGAGAAGGAAGGGGAGGGTGCATAGAGGGAGAGACAGAGAGAAACAGCAGTGCTGCATCGGTGGAACAACGAAGAGAGGGAGGGAGGGAGGTGGAAGAGAGAGGGAGCAGCGAGAGAGAGAGAGAGATCCAGAGGAAGAGAGGGGGCTTCCAGACTGGATGGGCCCAGCAGTGCCTTGATGGAGCATGGGCCAGGTTCTAGGATTCTCCCACTGCAGTGAGTGTCGGCTTTTGTCTGTCTGCCTGTCTGTCTTTCACATCCCCATCTATCTGTTCAGCATCTGTCCTAGCCAAATGCATGGCCATCGATCTCCCCTCACACACTCTTTCTCTCTCTCCCTCTCTTTCTCTCGCTCCCTCCCTTGATAAACACATGGTTGAACAAATGGATGCAGTGATGTAGCAGACGCACCTTTTTTCTTTTCTTTTGTAGAGACCTATTGCAGATGTGTATGTGTGTTCTCAGGATGTGTAGGCTATGTGTGTGTGTTCTCATTGACTGAGCACCGGTTATGTGTTTGTGTGTGTATGCAGGTGTTTTCATTTTAGCCAGGGCTTCTTTCACACTTGCCAGATGCTTGATTTATTTGGTGATCTGAGGCAGCAGGCTAGCAAATGTAGTTAAGGCCTCTCCCCTGCCTGCTCTGCCAGAGCTGATCTGTACAGTAGGAGGGGGAACATAGTTAGCTGTTAGCATAACGTATACAAACACTAATGAAATTGCTTTTAAAAACTGGGTAATGGCTTAGAAAAAGGCTACTCAAATGCCTGGATTCGAGCCATGGATTCTCCTAAAAAATACAAATGCAACCATTTTATTTATTCTCTCAATCTCATCTCAATGTATTGAGACACTATAGAAATAAATGTACATGATTGAAAGCACGTAATCTGTCTGAGAATAGGCTCTGTGTGGTATAATGCTTTTGTGCGCAATGTAATGCTTTTGAATGTGATACAATGCTTTATATTGAGAGGACAACTGTTATCTTGATAGTGTCTGCTCTCTTGGCTTATATGCAAATAGGCCTTAATCAGTTGTTAATCAATTGTTTATTTAGATACAAATTGTCTGTTTTATTTTGTGTAACTGTGGTTATGATAGTTCCCTAGCCAATGGTAATAAACATGTCTCTGATGAATCTTGTTATTTTTCTTCTAGAGGAATATGGTTCTGTCTCCTCCACACCTGATTCAACACCTCCCTGCACTGAAGGTAACATCACAGAATGCATACATACTGTACAGGTTTAGAAATTGACTATGTGAATGATTGAACTTCGTATGTGAGAATCATAATATGAAAAAGATCATACTATGACATGTCTACAAAGAATACAGGTGTAATCTGAGGTTGATTGTGTCCATTTGTTCGTTTGAATGCTTTTGTAGCCTTTCGGAAAAATGAGATCTGGAAACAGTACTCCCATCAAAGTTGTTTTGCACCTTTGGATGTTGCCCTTTCATTCAGACAAAGCATGTTGCGCTTTACTGGGCTTTCAACTCAGCGCTCAAAAACATCAGAGGATATGTAGATGAGAAAGCAACGTCAAACGGCTCCTCCATAGACATTAAAGTCACAGAACATGTGATATGTTTATGGAATAATATTGTGTGCTCATATAGCTTTCTCCTAGGATGAAAGTTTCACTGTAATGGTTGAAGTTTATAGCTAAGTTTATAGCTTTTCTGTAATGAAAACCTATACAATTTTCAACATATAACATTGACACAGGACAGAATAACAAATATAAAAGGTTTTCACTTTAAGGCTTTTCCTGTGCCTGTTTTCTCCAGGTGGGAATGAGGAGTCTGAGCTGTGCGACCTGCAGACGGCCAGGGAGTGGTCTGATGAAGAAGACGGGGGTCCGGAGGATGATGATGGTGGAGCTTCATCCCCCTCCATTTGGGGGACCCCGAGACAGAACTCCTTCGAGCCCACCTTCTCCTACATCGCCATCGCCGAGGCAGAGGCGGGCGGAGCCTCACGACATCATCGGGACTCATCGTCAGGGAGCCGGCGGAGGGGCGGGGCCAGGGGAGGCCGCACCTCCCTGAGCCGCACGGACACCGTGGAAATGCTCCTCCCCCTGGACTCCCCCGACGTGGAGTGGGACCCCCACGCCTTCCTCGGCCGAGAGGAGGAGGAGGAGAGGGAGAGGGAGGAAAGGGAGAGGGACATCCACAGACAGATTGAGGCAGTCCAGGCCTCTCTCCTAGATACTGAGATTGAACCTCAAGAGAGGGACACAGAGACCCAGAGAGGGGAGACAGAGCCCCTGGAGCCCCAGCACTACAGTCCCTCTGACAGCCACCAGGGTGAGCCCACTATGGGGCAGTGGGGATGGGGTGGGGCTATCTAGATGGGAGGGTAGATGGGATCAAGGTAGGTAGATATACCTGCATGGAGCTACATTTATAAAAGCAGGAGCTACTGCATCTTTTCAGGCTTTCTAGCCCCTGAAATCACACAGTGGGCGAGTATATTGCTCCAGGGTAAATGGGTGTAAACTCTATGTTTGAAAATGGGAAGTGTGTCCCATTTGATAGTACATAACTGTGACAGGCTTACAAACAACACAACTGAGTTGAGCTAATACTGCCTGTGTGTGTGTGTGTGTGTGTTAGTCACACAGCATGACTGAAGATGAAGTCAGACACTGTGCTTTAGGCTCCCTGGACAGCGTGCTCTCTCCTGTTGTATAGGATCAGGATGAGCACATTTGTTAATAAGATTGCTAAATCACTGTTCATTGTATAGTAGGTGAGGCTAAGGTAAATAATTACATTGTTAGATAAATTATATTTCTAGTTGATCTAATACAACCTGATTGTAGACTAACTTGATGCAGGGTGATGACATCATCACAATGACCTTGTCTTCTGTTTCTCAGCAGCATCACCGCCCCCTGAGCCTGAGTCCCTCGTAACCATGGAAACCACAGTCACACTGCTCACGGCTGTGCGACCAAGAGGCGGCCTCACAGATGATGTGTCATCCACTTCCTCCACCTCCGTTGGTCGAAACACTCAGGAAGAGCTGGCCAGTGAACAGTGGTTTTCAGTGCTCAACTTATCAGGCCCTATGATATGCACCCACATAGCAGGTAACGTTTGTAGCACATCTTACCTATTTTCTGTGACTTTCCTATCTTGGAACTACCTTTACAATTTGAGCATCTACCATCCCCTTGCCCGAATCATTCTATTTGACTTCTACTACATTATCTTACGTCAGATAGTGTGTCTGTGTCTCCTGAATTAAACCTCCGGCATATCCTCCAATCTTATTATAGTGGGTGGACTGAGGGGTGGCTGGCCCAGGGGCTGGGTGGACTGGGGGCTGGGTGTACTTTACTGTCCACTCCCCCTCATACTGACCCTGGGTGATTAATGGCTGGTGAAGTTGTTGACAAGCTTTAAGGGTTTTCTAGATATCATGTAAAGCGAACCATCTGGTTTCTGGATCAGAATGGAGCTGAATGTGTCAGAACACATTTTACTCCCCATGTTTATTGTGAGGTTATACTAGCCGATTACAGCTTAGACTACCGCTATGCATATCTGAAATATATGAGGCTATTTGAGCCATCGTGCTATCTAGAACCTAAAAGGGTTCTTTGGCTGTCCCCATAGGAGAACCCTTTGAAGAACCCTTTTTGGTTCCATGTAGAACCCTTTTGGGTTCCATGTAGAACTCTTTCCACAGAGGGTTCTACATGAAACCCAAAAGGGTTCTACCTGGAACCAAAAAGGGTTCTCCTATGGGGACAGCCGAAGAACCCTTTTGGAACCCTTTTTTCTAAGAGTGTGTACTTACCGGTAGGACGGTACTGTCTGTATGTCACAATAATGTGTTTTTACTTCTATACCTGCTACATTGTTAGCTGTTGCCGGTTCTGTCTCTGCTTACATAAGTGTGTTGTGTAATTCTCTGTCTGTGTCCATGTCCGTTTCCATGTCTGTGTTTTTCTCTGAATGGGTTTGTGTGTCTGTTATCATTGTCTGTGGATATGTCTCTTTGCATCTCTAGTGGTTTTGTATGTTCTCTCTGTTATCCAGCTATGGCTATCTACAGTATGTGTATGCCAACATGTCTGTGTCTCAAGGTTTGTCTCTGTCTCAGTCAATATACAGTATGTGCATGGACTAAATTGTGTGAATAAGGGAATATATTGGGTAGCTATCTTATCACTATATCTATCTGTCTATCTACATTGGAGTCTCCATGAGTCTTGAGGGGGGCGGGCCCTATTGGGCAGATTATTTTGGGCTGAAAGGTCTCTGTACTGCTGACGGGGCAGGGGAGGCCAAAAACAGCTCAGCGTGGCAGGGAGAGAGCAGGGAGACTGAGAGAGAGAGACAAAGAGAGAGAAGGGGGATCGTCTGAGCAGCAACCAAAATGGCCAACATTAACGGTAAGACCCTGGGCTTAGAGAGAAAAGATTGAGATAATGTGAGACGGTGTCAGTCAGCACACTGAGATCTATCAGTGAATTGACTTGGTGGGGAGGCAGGTGACCTATTGAATGGGCAAAGCAGTGTCTCGTGTCAGACATCGGCAAGATCATGGCACAGTTAGTTACAGTACCTATCGTCCTCAGCCGTAGGGGCGTTTCCACTTATAGGGACTTACTGTCTGTCCAGTGTAGAGCTGTGCATTTAGTGACTGTGGGTTTGGAGAGGAGTCTGAACGTCAGGAGAACAGCTACAGACAGGGGTCTTTGGGGAGATTTTGACCACTCACTGACCAGGAGTGTTTGAGACCATACCAATGGTGCAGAGGTGTGTGTGTGTCTGCCTGCTTAGTGATGGGATTGTTTCAGGCGGTGACGACCCAGAGTTGTGTTATATCTTGTTAAAACATGTAGGGACCATCTGTGTGGTTGTTTGTGTATGTAAGAGGCTAGTAGCGTGATGAACTGGTCTGTGCCCCATCTGACAGGGTTACCTCTTTGGGCAGCAGGGTTGGCAGCAGGGTTGGCAGAGCCAAGGTGTTTCACAGGGGTACTCTGTGGCTGGGTGGTAGTTTTGGTTGTGGTGGTAAATAATGCCAGGTCAGGCTGTGAATTGGTTGACTGGTGATTTATTATGTTGTAGTAACGATTGAGTCATTCAGTCAGTCAGTCAGTCAGTCACTCAGTCACTCAGTCACTCAGTGCTCAGTGCCTCATGGTGTAAGAGTATGCTTCACTTGGCACAGATAGAGAGGTTTCTCTAAGATTATGGCAAATACAGCTTTCAATTTGGTCTGTGGTCACGTGTGTGTACGTGCGTGTGTGTGTGTGTGTGTGTGTGTGTGTGTGTGTGTGTGTGTGTGACCCCCCACCCTCCCCTCCCCACTTCCTATTGTCTGTACTATTCTCAAAGAGTTCATTATACCACTATATTAACTTCAACCAATATAGACACGGCTTAGTATTGAGTCATTCTATTGGACCGTCACATGAGGGGTTTGTTTTGCCCCAGCATTAGTATAACTTGTTGTAGTATGTCTTCCATTTCTTAGTGCACTTAGTCTGTGCATTTCACAGTGTTACCATGTGCTGGTCAATGTCGTAAAGTGCCAACACATCAAATAAAGCTGTATGCTACTGTACTGTACTGTACTTCCACCTGTTGGGACAATGGGCAGATGTGTGTGTGCCGGAGGCTTTGAGGGTATTAATAGTATGTTGTAATGTTTATAAATAGTCCTCCTGCTGGTCAGATATATCAGTGCACTCTGTTCTAATTCCCAGGGCCAGGCTCACTCATACACTGATAGCCATGGAGTAATGACCACATGTCTTTGTCACTACAGTTTACCACCTCCGAGGGTCGGCGAGCTGCTAGTGTTCAGCTTCATTACACTGTGCTATCAGTGTTTTGGCTGTAATGACTGTTGGTTGGGAGCTACTGCTACTTATTCCATGGAGGGATCAGGCCAGGGGAGTCTCCATTTTGGCTCTGGGAGGGCCCAGTCGCAGCGGCTCCAGTTGCTGGGTGACTAATCGAGGGAGATGGGCAGGGTGCAGAGAGGGGGTGGTAGCGGGCTTGAAGATTGTCAGCAGGTGCTCTCAGAGGCAACATTTAAATTCAGGGTTCCTGCTCCCTCCTCGCGTCTTTCCTCTTCTCTCTCCCTTCCTCTATACAGTGTGCAGGCTATATTAAGCCCAGGCTTGACGTCTCCCCCTGCTCCTGTGTGTGTTTTCTCTCTGCCTGGTGATCACTGTCCCTCTGCTCTGCCTCCGCACAGCTGAAAGGCCTTCTGGCCCACTGAGCACTGGAGAGTCAGAGCCAAACAGGGACTGACTGGCTGGTGATGCTGTGGGCGTTTTGTAAAAGGCACATAGGCAGGAACAGTGAGGAGGAGAGACTCTTGCAGCTCTGACTTTCCCTGCTGCCTTTAGCAACCAACTAAAATAATCAGAGGAAGTGTCAGATGCTTGGGCTTGTCCCCTCCCCCACCCTGCTTCAAGGAAGTCCCCTGAGTCCATGTTGGCTTCTACTCTGTTTCTCACTGGTTTATATGTGAAGTGAACATGTAGACTATGCAACTAACTTTCTTATTTCTCCCTCTCTTGTTAATTCCCCTTCCCATCCCTCTATTACCGTCTATCCTTCTTTGGCTCTTCTCTTCTCCTCTCCTCTGCTCTCCCCTCCACTCCTCTCCTCCTCCTCTCCTCAGTGATGGATCTGATCTACTGGAAGGACACAGAGCGTACAGGCATGGTATTCACAGGGCTGGTGGTGGGTTTGCTGTCCTTGTTCCAGCTCAGCATCATCACAGTCATCTCCACTATCTCCCTGGGCGTCATGTGCTTCACCGTCTCAGTCTGCCTCTACTATAAAATCCTGCACGTTCTCAGCATGGGAGACGGAGTGCACCCTTTCAAGTGAGTGGCTGTCCACCTGGGATGGGATGGGATAAAATGGGGTGGGAAGTGTTCCTGTCTCTTCTCTCAACGTATTCATCTTCTCTCCTCTCCATTCACTTTGTCCTCTCCTTTGCCCTTTAAAAAAGATGTCCTCTTTTCCCCTTTATTCCCTTGTCTGCTTCCTCTCCTCTCCCCTCTTCTTTTCCTATTTCTTCTCGCCTATCCTCTCCTCTTTTCCCTCATCCCCCACTCCCTTCCACTCTCGTTTATCTCCTCTCTTCTCTAATAATGCTGTGGGAGTGGCATTCAGGAATAGGTTCTCAATTGGCTGGATTCTCTCACCTCCCAAAATAAATCCTGTCTGGGATCACAGTCCAGTGGGCTTGTCTTTAAAAACGACAGTGTGTTTTATGATTTCTTAGGTTAACCACTGCTGTTTGATAAAATAGTTGATAGACTTCATCCATCGTGATCTGAAAGGAACGTTTTATTTGAATATCTGTGCTGATGGAAATCATAAAGGCATAAGACAACAAACTGTGTTTGCATCAGGGTGTGTTCGTGGCGACTATCACTCATCAACACTGCCTCTTTCCTCCTTCCCATTGGTCCTTGACCCTGGACTCTATCTCCCTCTCTTTCTCCATCACTCCCCCTCTATCACTTTGTCTTTAATGCACCCTCCTTTTCTACCCCCCTCTCTTTCTCTACTCAGGGCGTATCTGGATCTGGACATCAGTTTCAGTGGGGAGCTGGCTGACCAATACATGCAGAAGGCCATTGTTACAGTCGTCTCTGCTGCTAACTCACTCAAGAATCTCTTCCTGGTTGGAAGCCTCTTCGACTCTCTCAAGGTGAGACTGCCTAGGTATTGGATCTCATCGATCTTCATCTAGAAATGGCCAGAATATGGCAGTGTACCTTTTTATATGCTCTCCTTCAATAGCGCCTCTGTCTCGTTCATTATCTAAGGATCAAATAACATTTTACACAAGGAAGCACTTCAGAATGGCATAGACCTTTTGTCCCTCAAAACACACCCTCTCTCTCTCTCTCTCTCTGCCTTTCTCTCTTTTAACCTCCTTCCCTTCTCCTTGTCTCTTGAACCCCGTCCATCATCGTGTTTACAGGAGGCCATCTTTTCGTTGTGGATTTACTTTAACATTGCTACCTCTAGCTGTCTGGGCTCGACTCTCTTTCAATAGAGCAGACATCCCTCCCCTTTCTCTATCCATCTTTTTCTCTTCCTCTGTTCTGTGCTGTACTGGCATCAGCCTGCCTCCCCGTCCCCGTTCACTGGAGATGACAACGTTGTCATGCCCACCGTCGCCAAATGACAAATGACGACTGTGATTCCTAACAATACCACTATCAAAGACAGCTACTGTCATACCCACAACTCACTGTGGTTCATATGATTGTGATAATCATGTATATGCAGTCCTGCTGCTTTAAATGTTCCCTTGTTTTTGGTCGCATCGGAGTGTGATGCAAGCAAACTGGTAGCAAGCACAATTGCAAGTATGTAGAACATTGGGTTTTTATTGAATTGGCATCGGGGATGATACACAAAAGATATGTGTTGTATTGTAAGGGTTACAATAAGAAAGCAGTACAACTGTCTCTTCCCCTTACAAGTATACCTGAGTGCTCTCAAAGCATTGCAATGGTGTCATTTTTGATGGAGGCTAAAACAACATAGTACTCATTCAAAGGTTACTTTTAACAGTTTGCCAAGGCTATGCAAAGGTTCTCGTCCTTTCCCTCTCCCCATCCTATATATGTGTTTCATACAGAACATGTATGACATTTCTCTGTGTGTATTTCAGTTACGGTTACTCTAGGTCAGTCCTGACATATCGATGAAGGATGTTCCCTTGTCATAGTAATACAATATGTACAGCAAACTTCGACTAACTACTCATTCGAGGGTTTATCTTTATTTTTAATATTTTCTACATTGTAGAATAATTGTGAAGACATCAAAACTATGAAATAACACATATGGAATCATGTTGTAACCAAAAAAGTGTTTAACAAATCAAATTATATTTTATATTTGAGATTCTTCAAATAGCCACCCTTTGCCTTGATGACAGCTTTGCACACTCTTGGCATTCTCTCAACCAGCTTCACCTGGAATGATTTTCCAACAGTTTTGAAGGAGTTCCCACATATGCTGAGCACTTGTTGGCTGCTTTTCCTTCACTCTGCGGTCCGACTCATCCCAAACCATCTCAGTTGGGTTGAGGTCGGGTGATTGTGGAGGCCAGGTCATCTGATGCAGCACTCCATCACTCTCCTTCTTGGTAAAATAGCCCTCACACAGCCTGGAGGTGTGTTGGGTCATTATCCTGTTGAAAAACAAATGATAGTCCCACTAAGCCCAAACCAGATGGGATGGCGTATCGCTGCAGAATGCTGTGGTAGCCATGCTGGTTAAGTGTGCCTTGAATTCTAAATAAATCACAGACAGTGTCACCAGCAAAGCACCCCCACACCATAACACCTCCTCCTCCATGCTTTACGGTGGGAACTACACATGCAGAGATCATCCATTCACCCACACCGCGTCACACAAAGACACAGCGGTTGGAACCAAAAATCTCCAATTTGGACTCCAGACCATAGGACAAATTTCCACCGGTCTAATGTCCATTGCTCGTGTTTCTTGGCCCAAGCAGGTCTCTTCTTATTATTGGTGTCCTTTAGTAGTGGTTTCTTTGCAGCAATTCGACCATGAAGGCCAGATTCACACAGTCCCCTTTGAACAGTTGATGTTGAGATGTGTCTGTTACTGGAACTCTGTGAAGCATTTATTTGGGCTGCAATTTCTGAGGCTGGTAACTCTAATGAACTTATCCTCTGCAGCAGAGGTAACTCTGGGTCTTCCATTCCTGTGGTGGTCCTCATGAGAGCCAGTTTCTTCATAGCGCTTGATGGTTTTTGCGACTGCACTTGAAGAAACTTTCAAAGTTCTTGATATTTTCCAGATTGACTGACCTTCATGTCTTAAAGTAATGATGGACTGTCGTTTCTCTTTGCTTATTTGAGCAGTTCTTGCCATAATATGGACTTGGTCTTTTACCAAATAGGGCTATCTTCTGTAAACCCCCCCTACCTTGTCACAACACAACTGATTGGCTCAAATGCATTAAGAAGGAAATAAATTCCAAAGATTAACTTTTAACAAGGCACAACTGTTAATTGAAATGTATTCCAGGTGACTCCCTCATGAAGCTGGTTGAGAGAATGCCAAGAGTGTGCAAAGCTGTCATCAAGGCAAAGGGTGGCTATTTGAAGAATCTCAAATAAATAAAATATATTTAGATTTGTTTAACACTTTTTTGGTTACTACATGATTCCATATGTGTTATTTCATAGTTTTGATGTCTTCACTAGTATTCTACGATGTAGAAAATAGTAAAAATTAAGAAAAACCCTCGAATGAGTAGGTGTGTCCAAACTTTTGACTGGTACTGTATATATAATCTAAATCTAAATTCTTTATCAAATGATAAACCGTTTCTGCTAGAAAGCTTCCTTTTAGACTTCATTCATTTTCTCTCCAATTTACCGGGACAGTAGAAAGAAAACATTGGCACATTGAATCAACAACAGTCATATGCGTTGCACCATAATGCTTTAGGGTTAAATGTAAATTTACAGCAGGAGTACTTAGTGTGACTTATCACAGTTAGTGAGAGACAGTGTGACTGTGCCACGTAGCCTTCAGCCTGAGCCCCAGAACCCTGTGGTCTCAACCCTGACCTGGCCGGTATGTGACATGGAACACAGGTGGCTGTTAACCCAGTTACAGGGGCGAGAGGAGTTTCGTCTTCTCTGAGAGGGGGGTGTCCCGTTTCAGGATGGGGATATGGGCCCTAAGTGACAACCCACTGAGCTATATTACACCAACTCCAAAAGGGTTATGGTGGATGATCTGGGAAATATGTAGTTATTAATTGACCATGTGCAAATTTAACATATGGGGCATGCATGCATTCATTCACATTTTACATTTACATTTTAGTCATTTAGCAGACGCGCTTATCCAGAGTGACTTACAGTTAGTGCATTCATTTTAAGATAGCTAGGTGGACAACCACATATTTCAGTCATAGTAAGTACATTATCCCCAATAAAGTAGCTATCAGGAAAGTCAGAGCTAGAAAGCGGGAGGGGGAAGTCAAGTGCGAGTGTTAGTTCACGAAAGGTGTAGAGGGGGTGCAGGGGGGGGGGGGGGGGGGGGGGGTGCTGTGGGATTATTTAAGATACTCTTTGCAACACATTTACCACAAGCTTGTGCTTCTAAGTCTTTGGTGGTCTTTGGTGGTCCTGTATCGCTCAGATGGTAGAGCATGGTGCTTGCATCGCCAGGATAGTGGGTTCAACTCCCGGGGCCACCCATACTTAAAATGTATGCATGCATGACTGTAAGTTGCTATGGATAAAATCGTCTGCTAAATAAATGTATATTTTGATGGAATTTGCAATCCTTAATGCAAAGAGTACATTCAATTGTGCATTGTGTATGTGGAGCTCACTGTGTGTTTCCTCCCGTTCTTTTCAGCTCCTGGCTCTGATGTACCTGGTGACCTTCCTGGGAAACCTGTGTAATGGCCTGACTGTCCTCATCATTGGTGAGAATCACAGACACAGTTAGAATCAGTATTTGAATAACTTTATTGTATTGGCATTCAATAATCATGATGGCCGTTTGTCCTGTAGAGACGGATCCCATTGGTTGATGCATGCTGACATTGTCGAATATTGTACTTCAAGTATTTCAGCTGAAGACAGCGCTTATATTGTTTTATCAACAGCCTTCTGATTTTAATAAAAGGGTATGCCATGTTGTTAGTCTGAAGAAGCTATTTACTCAATCAGAAAGATGAACACATGCTCACTCCTCCCTTTCTATCTTCCTCTTCTCCAGGTGTGATCGCCCTCTTCTCTCTACCACTGTTCTACAGGCAGCACCAGGTAAAATCGCACTAACGCTGCTGACAACTGCTCTCCTGATTAATTCAATGAAAGAAGGTACTTCTGTCAATTGTTCAAATGAAGTGTGTTTCTCACCAATACCTCTTTTGATGTTCCAGGCAAAAGTGGATGGCTTCTTTGCAGGAATTCAGGCAAACATTGACAACATCAAGGACATGTGAGTATGGCGCCATCTTACAGCACAACAGTGGAATGCAACATTCCTCTTTCCTTCCTGTAGTTTTCCATTGCAGCTCTGCAGACCCTGAACTGAATTCTGAATCACTGTGATGTTTACTCAATTTGTAACGGCTGGCAGTATTGGAGAAATGGTATGGAAAAAGCCTATAACCTTTGTCAATTACCAATGTAAATGAGATCATGTGATATTGACCCCTCTCTTTAATACAGTATCCACAGAATTGCCCAAGGTGGTGGCCCAATCCCAGACCCAACCCCTGGCGGCGCCAAGCCCAAAACACAATGAAGAGTAATGGCGGACAGGAGAGGAGGATGAGGAGCAGAGAAGAGGAGGAGTTACAGGCTGTCACTCACATGTCTTACTCAGCAGTCTGTGCTCAGAGCTCCAAAAGGCGAAGCTTCTGAGATTGGGGGGGTTGTGTGGGGAGTCAAACCATGGGGTTGGGACATGATGATACTGTATACTGTATGGTGGGATAGAGTAGATTGCTAGTGGGTGAGGATGAGGAAACGGGAGTGATATCTGGATGGGAGTTGTTGCTGTTTCGAAGAAAGTTTTAAGACACAGCTCATGATTGTTGGTACATTCATTCAAGCCACAAAGACTGATTGGAACCTCTAATGCTAGGAGACCTGTGGGTTCCTTATTGACAGTTGTATATCTGAACAGAGGGAAGTAAAAACTTCAGTATAGAGTCCAGCAGGACTGGAGTTCACCAGGAGTTAGGACAGGGTCAGTCCAGGGTCAGAGGTTAGAGTTCACCAAACCAGAGATCATCATTATTCATGGCAGCCTAACACTTGGAATCAGGATGTGTGTGTGGTAGAGTGTGTATGTGTGTGTGAGGGAATTATGGCACTTTTGTGCTCATGATGAGTGTGGGTGTTTAAGTGTGTGTGTGTGTGTGTGTGTGTGTGTGTGTACACAGTATGTGTTAGTCGACATGCAGCTTACTGATCTGAACCTGTTACCTGAGAGCTATTAAAACCACAACTGTTCTTTCATTTCAAATGTTCTGTTTCTTTTTGCCCACATAATCATCCACATGTCTGAGATTTGAATTCAACAACGTTGAACGTCTTCCATTCTCATTTCACCAGTCTATACAACCAGTCAAGTTTCTAAAATTACCCCCACCTTCAACTGTAGGATGCAACAGCATAGTCAGAACTAGGCCTCTAAATGCATTTTCTGAATTGACATTCAAGAAGACAATGATAGAAAATGTACACAGTATGACTTTTAAAGATCCAAATATCTGTGTGAATGGAATTGGAAAAATGCAGTTAGGGTTTTATCTGAGATTGAGGTAAAAGTAATTTGGGTAATACAGTACTGAGTATTGAAGGTAAACCAGACCTCTGATGATGGAGTATTGAAACAATTACATTAATCTCCTTCATCGCCAGCCAGAATATGGTTTGATATGACAGGACAGCAGATTTTTTCATCACTGATCATTTGGACAAATCAAGATTTCACAGGTGTTCGTATCTTTCAAATTTCAGAAGGGGAGGGGTCATTTGGCCCATGCTTGAGCTGAGAGTTTCCATTTAGGGATGTGGAGACTTCGCTAGTCTCAGTATCTTTTCTCATACATATCCCCCAAGAACCTAATTGAGCATCTGATGCAATTACGTGAGATTTTAGTTCTGGGTTTCCGAGATTACGTCCAGCCTGACAGGGTGTTTTGGAGCGATGACTCAATAGGTGTCATCGCTCTGAATGACTTTGCCTGGCTACCCAAACTCATTGCTCTGGCCAAATGCTACGCCACTACCACAGATGTTAGTTTCTTCTCCGTAATGAGTACCTCCCCGACGATTTTTAGAACGTAAACACATTCTAACCATTCTGATTGGTCCCAGAAACCGATGGGTTGGGCCAGAGCCAGAACACACATGGGTAAAGCAGCGTTTTGAAAATGCATCATTGGTTTTGATTACAGATTATCCAATCACTGATGACCACAAACAACTTAAACGATGGCAGTCTCAGACTGAAGTATGTAGGGAACATAGAGCAGCGGAATATTTAAGTTTCAGTCGTCAGGGAATGAATGACTAGCTAGATAACTGCTTCTAGACACCTTCTTTAACAAGTCATTCATGTTGGACTAAAACCGAGGCTTTTTTTTAGAGTCATTTCACAATAATATATAATCATCATCATCATTACCTTTAGTAGTGTACTAAACCTGTCAAGTTTTTTAAGGGTACATTTTCCCCTGCCTTATTATTATTGTATGTTCTGACTGTGTGCCACAAAGTGGGCCTTGTATGTTAAGAGTTAGATTGAACTTTATCCCAGGACATGATTAGATGTGGCCTGTTCACCTACACTTGATATCTCCCTCACTACTATAGTATGTTGCACTGATCTCACTACACAGTACTAGGGATGCCTGATGCCCCAGACAGACCTGAACCCTTGGTAGATGGTGAATTGGAGAATGAGAGGTGAGATAGGTTATGGTTCGCAGGAAAACTTTATTACACAATCCCTTAGAAGAGGCAAGGACATGAGAGTAAGTCTTAACAAACCTCAAATTAAATGTCATTTCTTGTATTATACATAGACCAACATTAATTATTTTGTATTATCAAAAATCTAATGGGTACCCAAACGTTGAATCTTGCAATAATATATTAAAGATCCTCTGTGGTCCTCTGTAGCTCAACTTGGTAGAGCACGGCGCTTGTAACGCCAAGGTAGTGGGTTCGATCCCCGGGACCACCCATACACAAAAATGTATGCACGCATGACTGTAAGTCGCTTTGGATAAAAGCGTCTGCTAAATGGCATATTATTATTATTAAAGACAAAATCTTATAATAAATCAACATTTTGACATGAGGCTAGTGTTTGATTCCTTTATGCGTTTCACACCACTTTGTGTGTGTGCGTGTGTGAGAGAGCGCGATAAGACGTTTTTAATATAACGTTTTTAAGCTAAACTAAAAGAAAGAAAGAGGGAGAGTTATCATTGCCATTTTATGACTAGCTTTTTACCACAGGGAGGCGACAAAAGCCAATCCATGTACTGCAACAGTCATCCTGTGTCACAGTGAAGGTGTCACTCCATTTTGATTGACGTTTTGAATACGACATTTACACTTGAAGGACAGTTAGTTGGACACATTTCGACTTGACAGTGACTCTGCAGAACTTAATATGCAAATATCCCCGAGGCTGAGATATTGGTAAAGGGAAACCCCTATGGGTAAAATTTACCAGAAATGGAAACTGGAAATTCAGTAATGCCTGCTCAAGGCTCAAACATAGTGCAGCAGCCCACATCATTTATTGGCCTAGTCCAAATTCGACCATGGGCCTCACTGGAGTTTCAGTTTGTACTTTACTAAAAGGTCGGCACGTGACAGAAGGAAATTGGGCCATTTAAACTGGCCTTACCTTGACAAGTCTCAACATGACCTGACCTCAAACTAGGCGTTAATGTGTATTAGGCCCGGTTTATAGGCATATAGGCTCTCTTTTTGTTTAATCTTTTCTCAATGTAGGCCATGGAAATAATATTGTATCAGCCTAAATCTGTCATACATGTGCCACAATTCACTTTCAAATGTGTTGAGTAGGCAGGGTGTCAAAGAAATGTCTCCTTTCACAACCAGCTGCTTGACTATGCCAATTAATCGTGAACAGTTGAAGGGTAGGGCCTATTTTTTTTTGAATTATGTTTTGTGTTACTGGCCCTCATTTTAAATAGTTAGTAGATAAATTGCCAAAGGGGCAATGCATGACAGAGTCCTCCAAAGGTTGCCTTTCAAGTTTTTCCCTTCCTGTTATTCTAAAATGAATAGGAACAGGGAATGGTGGGATACACAAATGCATGTCTATTAATTATTTGAGGTGTTCCCTATACTATATTTGAATACAGTACACCAGGGTTCTGAGCAAAAAAAACCACACACATATATATTTTTAAAAAATAACTTTCGTTGTTGGATATAAGACTGTAAAATCTCCAGGAAATCAGCTCAAAGTTATTTTAATTTAGGATGTCTGTTCCCAAGTATTCCCACGCATAAATAGAGAGGCATATGTGATCATATCCCAATGTAATCAAGGTTTGAAATAATTATATTTTCGTCAAATCTGTTTTTGTCAAATACTATATTTGTTTGGGATTCTTGCGGTCAATTTGCAGTGTACAAATTATTTATAACTATGTTCAGGCCCGTCATACCATACGCTCACGGACAGATCGTCCCACGGCTGAATAAAATTGGGGACCCCTGCAGTACACAAACCTACAGCACATGAATAAGCGAATTTTGCCACTGACAGAAGGCGTGTCCATATCAACTCGCTCCTTTCAAACGCAGTGGTGGAGGAGAGGGGAGGGAATAGTCTAATCACGCTTGAAGTTATAAAGCAGACCCTCCTCCAATGTATAACGGATTGGAGTATTGAAACCCGAGAGAAGTGGCCTGTTTTCAACTTTTTACACACAGTGATTATTAGTTATTTGGAGAGCACAAGACTACTGCTTTGAATTATAAAAAATAAATGCTATATACCAACCTGTCTACTTGACAAATAGGCTACAGAAGACATTCTCATGGTGCTCTCTTTATTTGCTCCTACTGGAGTAAGGAAAAGGTGTTCGTAAAAGTGCTGAATGTCACCTCCAGTTCAAATGGATTATAACAAGAGCATGGCTCCTCCAGTGCCGCCGCACAAACCCAAAACTACCCGGACAGGCGAGGCTCAGGAGCGGGTGTTGAAGTGCGTACTACTCGGCGATGGAGCGGTTGGGAAGACCAGCCTGGTTGTCAGCTACACAACGAATGGCTATCCAACGAAATACGTCCCCACTGCGTTTGATGACTTTTCAGGTGAGCCAGTTAAAACCATTTATTGTGGCACGATTCTTGGACAAAAATAATTACAGATTTGCGTCCTATAGACATCAAATCTGCAACTTCCCAGCCAGATAAAATAATAAACATAAAACATGTTTTCTGATGCACATTGCTACATTGATTTTGACTATGGGCCAACACCCATATATTGCACATTGCTACATTGCAACAAAACCTTAATTGACCATAGTGAACATCTCTGTTATATTGTAACGGAGAAATGCGCTGGCTCTCCCTTGCAGCCACCCATTCTGCGGAACGAATCACCTAACTTTTCTTCTTTCATTTTGCTGACCTCGAGGCTAACAGCAGCGACTGTCTGTCTGCAGGTCTTTGTATTATTGCACACAAATTATAAGCCCTGGTCATTTTACACGCCCTGGCCTGTTGTATTTTCCAGTTGGCAGAATTCCATTTTCCAAAACGCTGCCACCAGCAAATGTTTGTCTAATGTACAAAACAGTGGAAAACTTCAACAGCATACTTGTTGAAACTAACCTCCTTTGGCAGGTGATGAAAACGCCCGCACACACTGACGTTATCGTGTCATTATTGCAGGAGAGGCCTATCCTTCCTTTTGAAGTTTTCCCTATAAACCTTGATCTCAGGAAACCTCCAACAAAACACAATGTATGAAAGGTTTGAATGAGAATATTGCATATTTTAATAGGCTTATACACACACTAATATCCATCCCTCCCTCACTGCCCTCAGAAATCCAAGTCTTAGGCCTAAACTGAACAGAACATGCTTGTTGAACATGCTTGGTTTTAGATTGCACAACTCTGGCCATTGTTGTCAGCCTTGACCTAAAAGCCCTGTCTCTGCTATAATGAAATGGGCACATCTGTTTCAATGGCTCTGAGCAGAGATTGTCTTTCACCCCCATGACAGAGAGGGATTGTGCAGTTGGGGCCCCATTTGATGATGTCATGTATCTGTCCCTGGAATCAGAGCCCTCTTTTGAAAGCTGATTTCTGGGCAGTTATGCAATTCCACAGGTGACACTTGGGGTAGAAGAAAGAGGGAGGGAGAGATGGAGAGAGGGGAGGACAGAGTTTTGGCCCAAAGTAGAATACAAGGCAGATCATATGTCAGGGATTTGGGAATGATTGCACAATGGGCCCCTGGTTTAATGAGGAGTAGTCCAATGCTGCGGCGGACTAGTCCCCGCAGCTCTTTGATCAGGTGGTGTGACCGTATACCTCGGGCGCATTGTAAACGCTTCCATAAGCTTCACCACATTGGGCTCTTTTGAAACATAGCATATAATGAAACTGCTAGTGATATTACTCATAGCACTCTTCCAATCTGGAGAGAGCTATTGGGAGAGTCACTAAACAAACAAAACGGATTTGTTTTCCTCTGTAGATGGCTTGGCAGGGCTTTCAAAGCTTGAAAGAACACAGAATATGGTATTGAAGAGAGTAGTTATTGCCTTTACGTGGGCGAATGGGTGGGCGAGACGAGGCCGCCACTCTGAGTTAGGGGGATGGATGAGGTTTCTGTCAACTGTGTCCAGGGGGTATGAAGTACGTCAAACTGGCTTGCCTTTGTTTTTCCCAGAGGATATTTTGGTGGGCTGGTCTCTCCTCTGTCAGAGGTCTGTCTCTCCCTCTCTGTGTGAGTATGTTTGTTTAAAGTGTCTGGTGGAGCAATGTGGAGGCAGATGGGACTATAGCCCTGCTGACAGCAGCTGATTTAACACTCTCTCTCTCTCGCTCCCACAGCGGTGGTGCAGGTGGATGGACACCCTGTGAGACTACAGCTCTGTGACACTGCTGGACAGGTGAGAACCACAGCCTCACATCGACATGCAGCAGAGCAACACTCCACATACTACATATAGTGCTTCCACATGGTCTGCTTCGCCAGTTGGTGCTGCATCGCTGCGTTCACCACTCTCTGTCACATGCATGTACGCCCAGAGGAGAAATTATGCTGAGCACCACTGAACTTCCCCAACGGTCATTCTCCTTCTTCTGCTTGGTTCTCATACATGTCACATGATTTTAGTGTCAGAGACAGTGTTGGCATTTGTCCACCACTCTTGCATGCCGTCTTTGCTGGCGGGTATTGCTCAAGGCAACATTCTGGGGCACCGTCTTATTTCCCAGGCTCTCCCACAACTCTGTGGCAGCTGTGGGGCCCGCTGGTTCTCCTGAGAATGTCTCTACCACCCCCCCCCCCCACCCCCTCCCAGAGAGAGATGAATTCCTTGGCTCTGCTGCCACCAGGCAAATCCATTGGCATAGCTTTTGGGGATGGGGGTTGAGAGGAAGGATTTGGAAATGGTGAGAGGTGATAGAACGGCGTGAACTCATTAGAACAGAACAGATCTGGGGTGACCGCTAAGAGGGAGGGAGACGTCACTATCGCAGCAGGTAGCTGTTAATGCATGTTTATTTATCTTGTCTTGTTCTGCTGTCTCCCTCTCATCCCCTCACCCCCTCTCTCTGTAGTTGTGCAGGCATAGGCAGGCATGGTTGGTGTAACTGAGAGTTGTGCCCCTGAGCTCTGAGTGTCATGCCAAGCCATTTTAACATGGTTAGATTGTTCTAGAAAGGGAACAGGTTGTGAAAGCCGTGGTGTTTTCTCTTTGGGCATGGGTGGTGTCGTAATCTCATTCTATAGCTACAACCAAGCCCAGAGAGCAAAGTATAGTTTAGTTGATTGGGATCCCCATTAGCTACTGCACATGCAGCAGCTACTCTTCCTGGGGCCCACGTAAAACATACAAATACATGACAAAGTACAGAACAGTAATAGACAAGAAGAACATAAGATATTACATTAAATTCAAAATATACAGTACCAGTCAAAAGTTTGAACACCTACTCATTCCAGGGTTTTTCTTTATTTGTACTATTTTCTACATTGTAGAATAATAGTGAAGACATCAAAACTATGAAATAACACACATGGAATCATGTAGTAACCAAAAAAGTAGCCACCCTTTGCCTTGATGACAGCTTTGCACACTCTTGGCATTCTCTCAACCAGCTTCACCTGGAATGCTTTTCCAACAGTCTTGAAGGAGTTCCCACATATGCTGAGCACTTGTTGGCTGCTTTCCCTTCACTCTGCGGGCCAACTAATTCCAAACCATCTCAATTGGGTTGAGGTCGGGAGATTGTGGAGGCCAGGTCATCTGATGCAGTACTCCATCACTCTCCTTCTTGGTAAAATAGTCCTTACACAGCCTGGAGGTGTTGGGTCATTGTCCTTTTGAAAAACAAATGATAGTCCCACTAAGTGTAAACCAGATGGGATGGCATATCGCTGCAGAATGCTGTGTGAGCCATGCTGGTTAAGTGTGCCTTGAATTCTAAATAAATCACAGACAGTGTCACCAGCAACGCACCCCCACACCATCACACCTCCTCCTCCATGCTTCACAGTGGGAACTACACATGCAGAGATCATCCGTTCACCTACTCTGCGTCTCACAAAGACACAGCGGTTGGAACCAAAAATCTCAAATTTGGACTCATCAGACCGAAGCACAGATTTCAACCGGTCTAATGTCCATTGCTCGTGTTTCTTGGCCCAAGCAAGTCTCTTCTTCTTATTGATGTCCTTTAGTAGTGGTTTCTTTGCAGCAATTCGAACATGAAGGCCTGATTATTCTCTGAGCTGTTGATGTTGAGATGTCCCTGTTAGTTGAACTCTGTGAAGCATTTATTTGGGCTGCAATTTCTGAGGCTGGTAACTCTAACTTATCCTCTGCAGCAGAGGTAACTCTGGGTCTTCCTTTCCTGTGGCGGTCCTCATGAGAGCCAGTTTCATCATAGCGCTTGATGGTTTTTGCGACTGCACTTGAAGAAACTTTCAAAGTTCTTAATTTTCCAAATTGGCTGACCTTCATTTCTTAAAGTAATGATGGACTGTCGTTTCTCTTTGCTTATTTGAGCTGTTCTTGCCATAATATGGACTTGGTCTTTTACCAAATAGGGCTATCTTCTGTATACCACCCCTACCTTGTCACAACACAACTGATTGGCTCAAACGCATTAAGAAGGAAATAAATCCACAAATTAACTTTTAACAAGACACAACTGTTAATTGAAATGCATTCCAGGTGATTACCTCATGAAGCTGGTTGAGAGAATGCCAAGAGTGTGCAAAGCTGTCATCAAGGCAAAGGGTGGCTATTTCGAATCTACTGGTTCGAATCCAGGCTCTGTCGTAGCCGGCCGCGACCGGGAGACTCATGGGGCGGCGCACAATTGTCCCAGCGTCGTCCAGGGTAGGGGAGGGAATGGCTGGCAGGGATGTAGCTCAGTTGGTAGAGCATGGCGTTTGCAACGCCAGGGTTGAGGGTTCGATTCCCACGGGGGGCCAGTATGAATTTTTTAAAATAATAATGTATGCACTCACTAACTGTAAGTCGCTCTGGATAAGAGCGTCTGCTAAATGACTAAAATGTAAATGTACTTTGAAGAATCTCAAATATAAAATATATTTTGATTTGTTTAACACTTTTCTGGTTACTACATGATTCCAAATGTGTTATTTCATAGTTTTGATGTCTTCACAATTATTATACAATGTAGAAAATAGTAAAAATAAAGAAAAACCCTTGAATGAGTAGGTGTGTCCAAACTTTTGACTGGTAGTTTATTTATATATATATATATATATATATATATATATGAGACAACAAAAATACTATTTACACACTTAATATATTCATATTCTTATATACAGTACAATTAAATTAGATCTTTAGAAAGAGGAGAGGTGCTGTGATACAATGTGTTTTTTATCTGTTTTTTAAAGCTGAACTTGCTTTTTGCCTGAGTAACCTCTTGTGGCAGAGCATTCCATGATGACATGTGCGACGCATTAAATCTGTTTTTGGTTTGCGTACCGTGAAGAAACCCATAGTGGCGTGTCTGGTGGAGTATGTATGTATGTATGTCTGTTTGAAGTGTATGCAAATAGATTATACAAGTGGTTAGGCATTTTCAACACACAAATGTTTCTTAAAAAGACTAGAAAAGAAATAGTCAATTTCTCCTCAACCCTCAACCATGAAAGACTATTATGCATGTTGTTGATGTTAGTTCTGTGTGTGCAGTTAAGGGAAAGGCGTGCTGCTTTTTTTTTGAGTCAGCTGCAGCTTTGCTAGGTCTTTATTTGCTTCACCTAACCATATTACCGGACAGTAATCAAGATGGGACACGAATCAAAGCCTGAACAACTAGTACAGTTGATCTTTGTTAAAAATGTTTTACATATTTTTATAACTGACATGCCACTCCCCATCATCACAACAACTTTGTCAATATGACTTGACCATGATAATTGACCATCCAATGTTACTCCTAGGAGTTCAGGTTATTCAACTTGTTCAATGGTCACACCCTTTATGCACAACTCCAGTTGAGGTTTAGGTGTAAGAGAAAGCTTTGAACCAAATGCATTGCTTTTGGTTTTAGATGTATTTAAGACCAGTTCATTATTAATTACCCATTCTGAAACGGACTGTAATGTGATGTAAAGCCATATCAAGTTAGTTTTTTCAATAACAAATTATGATCAATAACACCAAAGGCTGCACTAAAATCTAACAATACAGCTCCAACTGTCATCTTATTACCCATTTATTTTAGCCAATCATCTGAGTCAGTGCAGTACAACTTGAGTGCCCTTCACTTCTATATATATGTATGTGTGTATGTGTATGTATAAGTGAAGCTTACTAGCACCGTAGGGCACTGCCAGTATTGTAAACACAATCCCCACATCCAAGTTGTTTTACCTAAGGAAACTTGACTGTGTTTGGTTGAGTGTAGCGTTCACAACCATTGGAACGAACACAAGGCCCAAACACTTCCCAGCATACATGCACTGTAGTGAACTCCACACTGTTGTCTTAGGGCTGCACGGATCTGCCCACTTTGTATACAACGTCTAAATCCCCCACCCTCACAGCCACAGAGAGCTGGGGCAAACACAGGCAGATCAAGTCAACAAACACTTGCTGTATATGCACTTTCATAACAGGAGAATAGATACCGCACCCTGAGAAAGCCTGAGATAAACGATAGCAACTGCTGCCATGGCTGTTTGAAACTTTTTTTATGAAATGGCCTCTTGAATCACTGAGATTAGGATCTGTACTTATCTATTTCGTAATTATTATTATGTTTTTTGATCAGATATTATGCATTTTACCAACATTTCCACAAAATTCTCATTAAAAAAAGTAATAAACAAATCAATATTTATAATATTTAACATTGCTCCACTAATGAAAAGACCTGAGTTAAACATAACACGGAAAATAAAAATATGTCTAATGAAATTATACAATTATTATCAAATCAAATCGGACTTTTTCCCAATTTGAGATCTCTAGCCTTTTCGGTAATGAAATGGCCAAGTGTGGTAAAGGGGGTGTTTGAGAATAAGAAACTTTTCTGAAGGCATTTAAGCGAATAAATTAACTTAACTTGTGCTCATCTAAGGACTACCCCTCTAGATCCATTATGGGTGAATAAAACTTTATGGGTGAATAAAACTTCATTTAAAAACTGATTGGCGTTTTTACAGGAACTTGAAAAAGTGGTAGGGTAATGAGACCCATGTCCACAAACACTGTTTGTACGTAATAAATATTTTAGTTTAATGTAAACTTCAACTTTTAAATAAAATGACTCAAATTTAATCTGGATGCATTTCAGTAATGTGAATTTGGGGTGAAAATGTAAAAAATTCAGGCGACATTTTCAAATGTATTTAAAATAAGACAGTTTCCCCAAAACTAAACATCTTAGTCCTCAGAATGATAGTTGATTTTTGTAGAGGCATCATAGTTTTGTAACTCAATTTGCTAGACATTTTAAAACTGGTTTCATGAGAATTACCCTGTTAATTAAACAAAGTAACTCCTCACTCAGAAAGATTGATACATTTTGTATGTTAGCCAATATCTCTGCGCCATCACCTCAGTTTGCAAACACTTAAGGCGAAAGTATGATTTGGAAAGAAAAAGCGTGTAAAAAGACTATTCCACTCAGAGGCTCCTGGATATAAAAAGGTACCTTTCATGTCAGGCGTCTGAAAAGGGTTAAAGAGTGTGTACTCAAGGATGTGGGGAGGCCCTTGTTACCCAAAGCTCTGTGGCTCCTCAGTGTTAATTTGGGAAATCAGTGTGATATAAAAGAGGAGGTTGGGCTTTACCGCTCAACATAAACAGACTTTTCTCACACAGTTTGTTATGGAAAGATTATCACCACCATTTATATTCCACTGACATTCTGCCTGCTTGGTATGCATTGACCTATAAAGCGATTACTGAAATGTGTTGGTGTGAAACTGGTTTGTTTATGTGTGAACCTTGAAGTGAAAAACATCACACAGTAGAGTTGGTAAACTCAACTAACTAGGGATTAGGTGCTTTGGAAAATGTTTGTAATACCTTGATGTATTTTATATAACATCATCCGTGCTTGGATCTGAAAAACCTTAAGACGATTAATTCCAGTATCCAGCAGAATTTGAGTTTTGAAATAATATTTTAGAAGTGAACTTATGCTCACTGCTGATCTATCCACTCTCCCACTCCATCTGTCTTCTTCATTCTTCTATAAACAGATTTTTTTATTTTTTATATATAGTTGCCTAAACAAATTCTCCCGTACGCTTTTTTCCCCTTCTACACTTGTTTGTCAATGATTATGCCAAGTCAACCATTTTCAAGATACTCAGTTCACCATTTGTTTGGGTTCACATGTAATGGGATTGGCCCTGTGTTGTTATGCTGAATGCCAACCCTCAAAATCACCTAACACTCGTCCCTTCTATGCTCATGCGGGTGATAGCGATGAGAGCGCATATAGAGACGAGAGAGCCTGAGCGAGAGTCGAGAGCGAGGAGCTATCTATATCTCTCTCTCTATCGCTCTCTCTCTCTCTCTCTCTCTATCCTCTCTCTCTCTCCCTCTCTCCTCTCTCTCTCACTCTCTCTCTCTCTCTCCTCAGGATGAATTCGATAAACTCCGTCACTTCTGCTACTCGCGCACCGACACCCTCCTCCTCTGCTTCAGTGTGGTCAGCCCTGCCTCCTTCCAGAACGTCTGGGAGAAGTGGGTCCCCGAGATCCGCCGGCGCTGCCCGCTCGTGCCCATGCTGCTGGTGGGAACCCAGTGTGACCTGCGCGAGGACGTCAAGGTGTTGATCGAGCTGGCCCGCCGGAGGGAGAGGCCCGTGGCCGAAGTGGACGCCCGTAGCCTAGCGGACAAAGTGGGCGCTGTGGCATATGTGGAGTGCTCGGCGCTCACCCAGAAGAACCTGAAGGAGGTGTTTGACGCGGCCATCGCCGTGGGGATGAAGCACGCCGATAGGAGGGCGCGGCGGGAGAGGAAGGTGCGCAGCACGGCCGATAAGATGAAGACACTGTCCAAGTCGTGGTGGAAGAAGTACGTCTGTATCCAGTAGAGAGAGAAGAGGAGAGGGATATTGACTATGACTATGAAACTGGGACTGGAAATGTGTTCAGACGAGCCTATGTTGTTCATATGGACTGAATGACTTCTGTCTTAGCTCCGCTCACATGACCCCACGTTGGTCAAAATTAGGGTTGCAAAAAAACAGGAACTTTCAATTAATTCCCTGGTTTTCCCGAAATCCCAGTTGGAGGATTCCCAAAATCAGAAGGGAATAGGCAGGAAATCGGGAATCTTCCAACCAGGATTTCTGGAAAACCAGGGAATTTATTAAAAGTTCAGGGAATTTTGCAACCCTAGTTAAAATGAATGACCAAGGACCCATGGCTTAGTAGAGTGAGGGGATGGACTGGGGACTGGGGGTGAGAGTGACTAAAGTTGGAGGAGATCCACTGATTGGTTGATTGCAAAGAGACTGACAGGACTGTGCTCTAACCACTCGCTGTCTGCTTGAGCTAGTCTGAACTCTAACCTCTGTGCATGATTGACAATCATCAGCATGATTGACAATATAATGCAGCAAAGAGTGAGTTGAACTCTGAGCAATAATGACTTCTATATGAACTGATGGCTGGAGACTGGGATCTTCATGTACTCTTATACTCCCTCACATGAATTGGCCAAATGTGCCACTTTTTTTTTTTTTTTTTTACCAATTACTATATCCTGATGTGCTGCATGCTGTATGTATTCCTCCCGTCCTTATACCTTATACATGTTCATGTCTTTTATGTTATCCACATCACTCTGTAATCAAACAGCCAGTAGAAAAATGTATGCACTCACTAAACTGTAAGTCGCTCTGGATAAGAGCGTCTGCTAAATGACAATAAAAAACAATGGATCATTGGTAGAGCTAGACTGAAACAAACTGAGGGATTAACATGGAATTAAACTCAAATTCAAACCAAATACAGCTACAATACAAATACCGCTACAATACAAATACAGCTACAATACATTAATATCTACAATTGCATCGATTACATTTACAGACAAGACTTTAGAGGTATCGATAAGAGACTTTTCCACAGATTCCATCTGGCCCTAGTCGTCACTGTCAGAAGCATGACCTGGCCCCATGGTCCTCTGGTGGTGGTCAATCGGTCATTGCCATTAAGCCAGGGGGTGGAGGGTTAAGCCTGGTGTGTGTGTGTGTGTGTGTGTGTGTAACCACATGACCGACTGAGGTCCCTAGCCCAGGTTGTGTCTGTCGGTCTGTCTGCTGCAGTGCTACATTTAAGTGTCTGTTGATTCAGCTGCTGCCACAGTTAGCAGACCACACAGTGAGGGACTGTGCTCCCCAGACAGAAAATAGTTCCTCATCAATACACATTAATGGTCAGACCTTTAGGACAGATCTCAACAATACACACCCCCATTGATCTCCACTCAACCTGCTTTAACTGGAGAACTTTGATCGTCATGAGCTCAGAGGTTTCCATCCAATAGCCACTCAACTCAACTGATGGGACTCTAAGAGCTGTTGAACGCGTTGTCTCACTCTGTCGGGGTGAGGAGATTAGATTGAGGAACACAGGGTCATTGAGTGGTGCCACAATAAATTGCCATGCAATGGCCTTTAGACTGTACAGCGTCTGATGTCTCTCTTTGTCATTTAAAACTTTCGATTTTTCACCCTTCCATGAGAGTCGCAAGGTCTTCACCCCACTGTTGGTCACTATATTTGTGTAATTACAGTACTATAAGCCCAAATATTGAGTTCACTGGCATTCATTCTCCTCTCCAGCAACCTTATGATGACAGGGTGAATCGCCAAAGAAAACCGATTTGTATTTGCTTCTTATTTTTCAGAAGCCTGTCTGTATGCTCTCTGTATGCATCCCTTTATTTGGGGCATCAACCATAAAATGCACAGCCACTGATCAACCCTACAAACAAATGTATGAGAAATGGCATGTATATTTTGTATAACAATTTTTATTTTTATTTTTATGTGGTGTCAATCAGGGTAATTTTGTGTACATTTTGGTCTGTATCCATCACAAGCTGTCCTGAAAACACCCTAAATGGTACAGAATGACAGACATTTTTCACTTGTCTGATACTGTCAAGACTGTTTATAAAGCAACAGAGATCTAAATAAATGTGAAATCTATACAAAAACATGCCATGTATCAGTGTTTCTATGCAGTTACAGAGGGATATACAGTTGGAGCCGGAAGTTTTACATACACTTAGGTTGAAGTCATTAAAACTTGTTTTTCAACCAATCCACAAATGTCTTGTTAATAAACTAAGGTTTTGGCAAGTCGGTTAGGACATCTACTTTGTGCATCACACAAGTAATTTTTCCAACAATTGTTTACAGACAGATTATTTTACTTATAATTCACTGTATCACAATTCCAGTGGGTCAGAAGTTTACATACACTAAGTTGACTGTGCCTTTAAACAGCTTGGAAAATTCCAGAAAATGAAGTCATGGCTTTAAAACCTTCTGATAGGCTAATTGACATAATTTGTGTCAATTGGAGGTGTACCTGTGGATGTATTTCAAGGCCTACCTTCAAACTCAGTGCCTCTTTGCTTGACATCATGGGAAAATCAAAATAAATCAGCCGCTCAGCATGGAAGGAGCAACTGCTCCAAAACCGCCATAAAAAAGACAGACTACGGTTTGCAACTGCACATGGGGACAAAGATCGTACGTTTTGGAGAAATGGATTCTGGTCTGATGAAACAAAAATTATGTTTGGAGGAAAAAGGGGGTTGCTTGCAAGCCGAAGAACACCATCCCAACCGTGAAGCACAGGGGTGGCAGCATCATGCTGTGGGGGTGCTTTGCTGCAGAAGGGACTGGTGCACTTCACAAAATAGATGGCATCATGAGGAAGGAAAATTATGTGGATATATTGAAGCAACATCTCAAGACATCAGTCAGGAAGTTAAAGCTTGGTCACAAATGGGACTTCCAAATGGACAATGACCCCAAGCATACTTCCAAAGTTGTGGCAAAATGGCTTAAGGACAACAAAGTCAAGGTATTGGAGTGGCCTTCACAAAGCCCTGACATTAATCCTATAGAAAATGTATGGGCAGAACTGAAAAAGCGTGTGCGAGCAAGAAGGCCTACAAACCTGACTCAGTTACACCAGCTCTGTCAGGAGGAATGGGCCAAAATTCACCCAACTTATCGTGGGAAGCTTGTGGAAGGCTACCCAAAACGTTTGACCCAAGTTAAACCATTTAAAGGCAATGCTACCAAATACTAATTGAGTGTATGTAAACTTCTGACCCACTGGGAATGTGATGAAAGAAATAAAAGCTGAAATAAATCATTCTCTCTACTATTATTCTGACATTTCACATTCGTAAAATAAAGTGGTGATCCTAACTGACCTAAGACAGGGAATTTTTATTAGGATTAAATGTCAGGAATTGTGAAAAACTGGGTTTAAATGTATTTGGCTAAGGTGTATGTAAACTTCTGACTTCAACTGTATATATATATTTCACCCTGTGTGGAGTATGTGAGGGATTGAATGAATCCTATCTCCCATTGAGTCTAAAATGAATACTGGTGACTCTCCGTGTGAGGTCAAAGGTAACAACCCTATGTAAATGTATGTGTTGAGGGAACATTTTGTAAGTTGTCCCCCATCACACCCTCTCTGTTTTGAGAATGTGCTGAGTTGTGGTGGACAACTCAGCACATATCGTTTAAAGGAATACCTCTCTTTGGTTCTGAACTAAAAAAATAACTCTCTGAAGAACTCTCCAATATTATCTATGACAATTCATCAATAGATCCTTATTACGACTGAACAGTTGGTAGTCATATCAGTGTTTGTGGTGCTGTCTATTATACATGGAGGAGAATTGCAGTAGAATTGCAAGAAGAGAAAGTCTTCCTTCACGTCACCACAGTGGAGATAATGGGTCGACAATTTCATCTGGTTATAGTCTGTTTTGATGCTGTAATGATATCTTGAGAGTTGTGGTGTTTGGACGGCAGTTGGTGTGCATGCAGATTCTGGTGACAGTGTGGGTGAAACGGAGGTAGGCGTTGGGCCAGTGGTTTAATTATAATGGTTACAATGGTTCCTGGGAGCTGCACTGGTAGTTTGACACAAAGCTGTTGTTTTTGTCTTTCTCAGAAGGAGCCATTCCATTGTGTCAAGCCTTTGATAATGGTGATAAGCAGTATGGTAGAGACGAGGCAGTACTTACACTTAGCTGTAAAATCTACCTTTGTGATATATAACTAGGCCTTCTCAGATAGGAATCCTGAATCCCAAGTGTCGGTCGCAACGAAAACGAAAAATATTTACAGTGCAAGATGAAACACCCTTTCTATTTTCAGATTTTACTGTTGTTGACTGATGGTGTGCAACTGTCCGGATTAGAAAACCTCTGAAGTATTGTGAAAGGAGAAAACACGTTCAATGCCATCTGGAATATCTAGAAGTCAGGCATCATAACAGGCAATATATACAGTGCCTTCAGAAAGTATTCATACCCCTTGACTTATTCCTAAGTCAATACTAAATTGTAATTATTTTGCACTATGGCCTATTTATTGCCTTACCTCCATAACTTACTACATTTGCACACGCTGTATATAGATTTTCTATTGTGTTATTGACTGTACGTTTTGTTTATTCCATATGTAACTCTGTGTTGTTGTTGTTTTTAATCACACTGCTTTGCTTTATCTTGGCCAGGTCGCAGTTGTAAATGAGAACTTCTTCTCAACTGGCTTACCTGGTTAAATAAAGGTTAAAAACCTTTGCTGTGAGACTCAAAATTGAACTCAGGTGCATCCTGTTTCCATTGATCATCCTTGAGATGTTTGTACAACTTTATTTTAGTCCACCTGTAGTAAATTCAATAGATTGGACATGATTTGGAAAGGCACACACCTGTCTATATAAAGGTCCAACAGTTGACAGTGCATGTCAGAGCAAAAACCAAGCCATGAGGTCGAAGGAACTGTCCGCAGAGCTCCGAGACAGGATTGTGTCGAGGCACAGATCTGGGGAAGGGCACCAAAAAATGTCTGCAGCATTGAAGGTCCCCAAGAACAAAGTGGCCTCCATCATTCTTCAATGGAAGACGTTTGTAACCACCAAGACTCTTTCTAGAGCTGGCCGCCCGGCCAAACTGAGCAATCGGACGAGAAGGGCCTTGGTCAGGGAGGTGACCAAGAACCTGATGGTCACTCTGACAGAGCTCCAGAGTTCCTCTGTGGAGATGGGAGAAACTTCCAGAAGGACAACCATCTCTGCAGC